ATCGCTGAGAAACAGTAAAAGGTGAAGAGAGCCAAATGAATTTGCCAGATGCAGCTGAAAGACATGGTCAGCATGATGATGAGCAGACACGTCCTGTCAAAACACCGCTGGGCAAAACACAGTGCAGAAAATGAAATAACAGCAGAACACAGAAAAAACAGAACAGAATCTGTTAGGGGGGAGGGGGGGGGGGGGGGGGGGGGGGGGGTACTGTGGATGGATGGTGGGTGGGGGGGTTACTGTGGACTGTGATGGATGGTGGGGGGGTGGAATGTGGGGATTGGTGGTGGGGGGGTACTGTGGATGGAAGGGTGGCGGTTGTTGTACAGTGGATGGTGTTGGGGGTGGGTTATTGTGGATGGATGGTGGTGGGGGGTACTGTGGACAAATTGTGAGGGGGAACTGTGGACAGATAGGGGTGGGGGTACTGTGGATGGATTGGTGGGGGGGGGTACTGTGGATGAATGAGTGGGGGGGGTACTATGAATGGATGGTGTCGGTGGGGTACTGTGGAAAGATGATGGCAGGGGAGGGGTACTGTGGATGGATGGTGGGGGGGTCATATGTGGATGGATGGTGGTGGGGGGGTACTGTGGACAGATGGTGGGGGGTGGGGTGGTATGTGGATGGATGGTGGGGGGGGTACTGTGGATGAATGGTGGCGGGGGGTACTATGAATGGATGGTGTCGGGGTGGTACTGTGGAAAGATGATGGCAGGGGAGGGGTACTGTGGATGGATGGTGGGGGGGTCATTGTGGATGGATGGTGGTGGGGGTTACTTGGATGGATGGTGGCGGGGGGGGGGTACTGTGGATGGATGGGTGTGGGAAGAATGTGGATAGATGATGGGGGGGATATTGTGGATGGATGGTGGTGTGGGGGTACTCTGGATAGATGGTGGGGGGTACTGTGAATGGATGTGGGGGGGGTTTATTGTGGGTGGATGGTTATGGGGGTACTGTGGATAGATCGTGGTGGGGGGTACTGTGGATGGATGGTGGGGGAGTACTGTGGATGGATGGTGGCGGGTGGATACTGTGGATGGATGGTGGTGGGGGTACTGTGGAATGATGGTGGGGGGTACTATGGATGGATGGTTGGGGGTACTGTGGATGATGGTGGGGGGGTACTGTGGATGGAAGGTGATGGGGATACTGTGGACAGATGGTGGTGGGGGGTACTGGGGACGGATGGTGGTGGTGGGTACTGTGGATGGATGGTGGGGGGTACGGTAGATGGATGGTGGTGTGGGGGGGGTGTTATTGTGGATGGATGGTGGTGGGAGGAGGTAAGATGGGTGGATGGATGGTGTGGGGGGAGTACTGTGGATGGATGTTGTGGGGGTAGAGTGAATGGTTTTGGGGGGGTTCTGTGGATGGATGGTTGTGGGGGGCTACTGTGGATGTATGGTGGGGGGGTACTGTCGATGGATGGTGGCAGGGGTACTGTGGATGGATGGATGGGGGGGTTATTGTGGATGAATGGTGGTGGGGGGGTACTGTGGACAGATGGTGGTGGGGGGTGTACTGTGGATGGATGATGGGTGGGTATTGTGGACGGATGGTGGTGGTGGGTACTGTGGATGGATGGTGGGGGCGTACTGTGGATGGATGATGGCAGGGAAATACTGTGGATGGATGGTGGGGGGGTATTGTGGATGGATGGTGGTGGGGGGTACTGTGGATGGATGGTGGGGGGGTACTGTGAATGGATGGTTGGGGGGTTTTTTTGTGGATGGATTGTGATGGGGAGCACTCTGGATGGATGGTGGCGTGGGGGTACTGTGAATGGATGGTGGGGGGGAGTACTGTGGACAGATGTTTGTTGGGGGTTACTGTGGATGGATGGTGGTACGTACTGTGGATGGATGTTGGTGGGGTTTACTGTGGATGGATGGTGGTGGGGGTACTGTGGATGGATAGTGGGGGGGGGTACTGTGGAAAGATGGTGGTGGGGGAGGTACTGTGGGTGGATAGTGTGGGGTACTGTGGATAGATGGAGGCGGGGTGGTATTGTGGATGGATGGTGGAAGGAGGTACTGTGGATGGATGGTGATGGGGGTACTGTGGATGTACTGTGGATGGATGATGGGGGGGTACTGTGGATTGATGTTGGCGGTGGGGTACTCTGGATGGATGGTGGGGGGGTACTGTTGATGGACGGTGGGGGGATACAGTGGATGGATGGTGGGTGTGGGGGGGGGGGCGTTATTGTGGATGGATGGATGGATGGATGGTGGTGGGGGGTACTGTGGGTGGATGGTGGGGGGGAGTTCTGTGGAAGTATGGTGGTGGAGGGTACTTTGGACTGATGTTGGCAGGGATACTGTGGATGGATGGTGGCAGGGGGGGGGGGGGGGGTACTGTGGGTGGATAGTTTGGGGGGTTATTGATGATGGATGGTGGTCGGGTGGGTACTGTGGACAGATGGTGGGGGGGGTTATTTGTGGACAGATGGAGGTGGTGGGATACTGTGGATGTATGGTGGGGGGGGGGTACTGTGGATGGATGAAGGCAGGGTGGTACTGTGGATTGTGGTGGAGGGGTACTGTGGACAGATGGTGGGGGGGTACTGTGGAAGTATGGTGGTGGAGGGTACTTTGGACTGATGTTGGCAGGATACTGTGGATGGATGGTGGGGGGGGGGTACTGTGGGTGGATAGTTGGGGGGTTATTGATGATGGATGGTGGTCAGGGGGTACTGTGGATGGATGGTGGGGGGGGGTACTGTGGATGGATGTTGGGGGATATTGTTTATGGTTGGGGGATACTGTTTATGGGTGGTGGCGGTGGGGGGGTACTGTGATGGATGGTGGCGGGGGGGTACTGCGGATGGTCGTGGGGGGGTGGTACTGTGGATGGTGGTGGGGGGCTACTGTGGACAGATGGTGGGGGGGGTACTGAGGAAGGATTGTGGGGGAGGATACTTTGGGGGGAGTAGTTGTGGGTTATTGATGATGGATGGTGGTGGGGTGTACAGTGGACGGTTGATGGGGGTTACTGTGGATTGATGGTAGCGGTGGGGGGGTTACTCTGGATGGATGGTGGGGGGTTACTGTGGATGGATTGTGGCGCGGTGGTACTGTGGATGGTGGTGGGGGGGGGTACTGTGGACAGATGGTGGTGGTGGGGTACTGTGGATGGATGGTGGCGGTGGGGTACTGTGGATGGATGGTGGCGGGGGGGTACTGTGGCTGGATGGTGGGGGGAGTACTATGGATGGATGGTGGCAGGGGGTACTGTGGATGGATGGTGGGGGGGAGTACTGTGGACGGATGATGGTGGGGGGGGTACTGTGGATAGATGTTGGGGGATACTGTGGATGGATGGTGGTGGGGGGGTACTGTGGACGGATGGAGGTGGGGGGAGGTACTGTGGATGGATTGTTGGGGATGTATATTGGAGTGGGGAGGGTGGGGGGGGGGGGGTATTTTTTTTGGGGGGGGTTATATTGCAGCCTCACAATTTTGAAAATTGACCTCATTGCTTTCAACGCCATTATCTTTGGGAGAACTAATCGGAATATATCTGATACCAACCTGTTCAAATATATCTGAAAATATGCAAAACACTATACATGTATCATCTTTACATTTATGATATTCTATGTAAAAGCGAACAGGATAGAAATAATCACAGTGTTAGAATAAGAGAGGGGAGGGTGGAGGAGAGAGAGAATAGAGGGGAGGGTGGAGGAGAGAGAGAATAGAGGGGGAGGGTGGAGGAGAGAGAGAATAGAGGGGGTGGAGGAGAGAGAGTACAGAGGGGGGAGGGTGGAGGGAGAGAGAATAGAGGGGGTGGAGGAGGAGAGAGAGTACAGAGGGGAGGGGTGGTGAAGGAGAGAGAGAGAGAATAGAGGGGAGGGTGGAGGAGAGAGAGAGAGAATAGAGGGGAGGGTGGAGGAGAGAGAGAATAGAGGGGAGGGTGGAGGAGAGAGAGAATAGAGGGGAGGGTGGAGGAGAGAGAGAATAGAGGGGAGGGTGGAGGAGAGAGAGAATAGAGGGGAGGGGTGGAAGAGAGAGAGAATAGAGGGGGTGGAGGAGAGAGAATAGAGGGGTGGAGGAGTGAGAGAATAGAGGGGGTGGAGGAGAGAGAATAGAGGGGTGGAGGAGTGAGAGAATAGAGGGGGGTGGAGGAAGAGAGAGAATAGGGGGGAGGGTGGAGGAGGAGGAGAGAGAAATAGAGGGGAGGGTGGAGGAGAGAGAGAGAATAGAGGGGTGGAGGAGAGAGGAGGAATAGAGGGAGGGTGGAGGGAGGAGAGAGAGAATAGAGGGGAGGGTGGAGGAGAGGAGAGAGCGAATAGAGGGGGTGGAGGAGACGAGAGAATAGAGGGGAGGGTGGAGGGAGAGAGATAATAGAGGGGAGGGTGGGGAGAGAGATAATAGAGGGGGGAGGGTGGAGGAGAGAGAGAATAGAGGGGGTGGAGTAGAGAGAGAATAGAGGGGGGAGGGGGAGGAGAGAGGAATAGAGGGGAGGGTGGAGGAAGAGAGAGAACTAGAGGGGGAGGGTGGAGGAGATAGAGAATAGAGGGGAGGGTGGAGGAGAGAGGAGAATAGAGGGGGTGGAGGAGAGAAGAGAGAGAATAGAGGGGAGGGTGGAGGAGATAGAGAATGAGGAGGGGAGGTGGAGGAGAGAGAGAATAGAGGGGGTGGAGGAGAGAGAGAGAGAATAGAGGGGAGGTTGGAGGAGAGAGAGAATAGAGGGGTGGAGGAGAGAGAATAGAGGGGTGGAGTAGTGAGAGAATAGAGGGGGTGGAGGAGAGAGAGAATAGATGGGAGGGTGGAGGAGAGAGAGAATAGAGGGGAGGGTGGAGGAGAGAGAGAATAGAGGGGGTGGAGGAGAGAGAGAATAGAGGGGGTGGAGGATAGAGAGAATAGAGGGGGTGGTGGAGAGAGAAGGAAAGGCAGAGCCAGAGCACAGCATTCCTCCCCTGTATAGCCAGGCTCTCAGGAAGAAAGGAGTGGGTTAGAGTTAAGCTCTAATCCAGATGTGTATGGCTGGTTGGACCAGAGCAGACGCAGCTAGGGTCCACCTCTCTAACACAGACCCAACTCTCCTCCATCACTTCTAACACAGACCTAGTGCTGCTTGGTTTACCTCAGAGCGTCACAGCAAGACTAAAACCAGACTGGATACCTCACTCCTCTACCGAACTGGTGTCTCACTGTCCTGGCTACTGTCAACACTGCTGTCAACCTACTTTTTCTTGGAGGAATTTCCAGGTAAGCAACATACAGTATTTGACAAGAGTTGAAGAATATCACCACATAGTGAAGTTCACATTGTTGTTGGTGCAAAAAGTTATTGCTAATGCACAAAATTCCTTTCTTAGGGGAGGAATCAACTGACGCCAAGTCTGATTGAATTAATTTACCATATGTTATCAAAAGAGCAATTGCCTGAAGAATCTTTGATTTGTCAACATATAGGCTATTTAAACACACAGCATTTACCTATAAGAAACAGTCAATTCCAGTTGAAAACTAATTCAACACTTAAATCAAGACATATTTTAATGTTATTTTATATGGTTCCTGTCGTTATGGACTGATTGACGTGTACTAAGGATATACATAGCCGCAATTCATAGTGAAGTTCTTAATCACAATTCAGAGAAAAGACAGACCCAGTTTCTGGCATGTGGAAAAGGGGCTTTAGTCCAACATATTACAGTCAGTGAGATGAATTTTATTATATCTCTAAAATTCAGTATTTAAAATGGCATCTTCAAAGCCCAAAACTCAATTTGCTTGAAATCTCAATAAAAAGTGTGAAGGTTCTTCATAACATACATTACGTCATCTATGGGAAACATATGGGTGTCCTATATGGGAAACATATGGCTTTTATGTATATGTTATTTTGACTCCCAGACAGAACATGTGATTTTAATCTGAATTAGATATATTATACATAGGTGACATTACAGGCATGTTGTGCCTCAGCTCTGACAGGTGATTTAAGACTGGAGAGAAACTCCTCTCTAGTGTATAGATATGGGTTATGTTAAATCCATCAATATAAGGACCAACTGGCTGTCAGTTACTTGTTATGAACTTGGTACGTGACATGTCATCAGGTGTGCACCAAAGATTGGGGGTGTTTTAAGTACTGTGGTACACATTTTTTTATTTTCACACAATATATTTTATACGCAGCAAAGCCTGCATGATCACTTACTGACAATGATTTAAAAGCACAACTAACAAACCCATAGGGCGGCGCACAATTGGCCCAGCGTCGTCCGGGTTTGGCCGGGGTAGGCCGTCATTGTAAATAAGAATTAGTTCTTAACTGACTTGCCTAGTTAAATAAAAGAAAAGAAAAAGAAATAAATAAATAACATTATGACTAGCAAACATGTAGCCTAGACTGCTGCACCACAACCTCTCTCTATTTCCATTCCTGTCATCAGTGATGTGTGTGTGATGTGTTTTGGGATGTAGTCTAAAAATAGAGAGTGAACAAATGTGAACGATGATGAAGGCCAGTGATGAAGATGCGTGTAGTGACTTGCAGGCGCCGAGGCTCAGCGTGAGGACTCCATCATGATTTATGGCAATGTCTGGATGGCTGACCATATGAAGGCTATTACAAGAGTCAAACACACCTTATCAGTGGCTTTCTCCAGGGCCGGACGTTCCCACAGAGAATAAAAGACGGGTGGAAACTTTGTTCACGGAGTCATTGTAAACCTTCTGGTGCAGCGTTCCATTACACTACAGTGGGTTTTTATACGTTTAGACTTTTAGATATTTTGTATCTTTTGACATTGAAGAATTCTGGTATGAACCATCTGATAATTGTATTCTTATTGCGTAACTGTAATAAATCTGATTACTTTTAAATGAATATATTCCTTTAATTTTTATTTTATGTTTGGTCTAATGATAAACGTTATTCACACTACACATAGCATATATGCTTGGTCTCTTAACTGTGCAGCTCTGAGCCTAGATTAACTCAATCATTTAAGGCTAGGACATTGATCGCAAGATACAGTGTTAGCTTTTTGTCTCTCAGCCTCTTAATAATTGCATTACGGTTATCTTGGACACATGTAACTGACTGACTGTATAAAACATTAGGAACAACTTCCTAATATTGAGTTGCACCCCACCCTTTTGCCAGAACAGCCTTAATTCGTCGGGGCATGGACTCTACAAGGTGTCGAAAGCGATCCACAGGGATGCCGGCCCATGTTGAATCCAATGCTTCCCACAGTTGTGTCAAGTTGGCTGGATGTCCTTTGGGTGGTGGACCATTCTTGATACACACAGGAAACTGTTGAGTGTGAAAAATCCAGCAGTGTTGCAGTTCTTGACACAAACCGGTGCACCTGACACCTACTACCATACCCCGTTCAAAGGCACTTAAATATTTTGTCTTGCCCATTCACCCTCAGAATGGCACACATACACAATCCATGTCTCAATTGTCTCAAGGCTTAAATATCCTTGTTTAACCTGTCTCCTCCCCCTTCATCTACACTGTTCTGAAGTGGATTTACAAACTGACATCAATAAGGGATCATAGCTTTCACCTGGATTCACCTGGTCAGTCTATGTCACGGAAAGAGCAGGTGTTCCTAATGTTTTGTCCAGTCAGTGTACAGAATTCCGAGTGGTGATGCAAAGCTTGCTACCTTCACTAGCCCCATGGGATACGCTCATGCTGCCCTACAGCATCCACACGGTAATGGAGTCAGATTGAAGACTATATTATGGTCGTATTACTCCTACACTATCTCGTTTATGCTGCCCTACCAAGCAAAAAGGCAGTTACTGCTCATAGCGTGGAACTGAGAAAAATGGCTTTTATGCAGTTACTGCTAACATTACCCCCATTTTCTCCAAAACCCAATATAATAGAGGCAGGATACTTGTCCACATGATTAAGCATGTATTTAATGTAGCAAAAATGACAACTCATTTTCGACCAAATGAGCAGTTACTGCCTTTTTGCTTGGTAGGGCAGTATGGACCTATAGCATTCACACGATAATGGAGTCAGATTGAAGACTATATTATGGTCGTATTACTCCTAAACTAACTCCTGTCATCCTCAGATAGAGTGGATTTTCACTATTTTTTTGGTCTGGCAGTATGTTTTATTCTCACTCAGAGGGGTATTTCAACAAGCAGCTGGAGTCAGCAAGGGTGGTGAGACAGGAAGAGGGGGAGGGGGGAGGAAACTGGCCAAAATTGGCCCGCTCATCATGGGTCATTATCATACCAACGACAGACATGATAAATTGTGGCTCCCTCATAGACCCTCTGCACACATGGCATGACAAACAGCTTAGCCTCTAACCACCAAGGTCAGCACAAGGCAATGCACCGACAACACAAGAAACCGTAGCTTGTTTTATTTGCCCTCAAGGTGAATATTTTGCCATTTGGGAGGTACCGTACTTGTCATCAACCTTTTGAAGTGGGATTTTGTAATTGAGCTCTTGAATGCGTAGGCCTACTAGCACAGGCATGCAATAAGTATTTAATGCTATGCATTCTCTAAGGAAAAATCTTATGGGTTTTTTCCCTTATGAATTCAGCAATAGCTCTGTGCATTTGGAGATATGGAAACACCTAAAACAATATTCTAAAACGAATTCCCAGAATTCTTACACTCTTAACCTAAAAGGGTTATTCGGATGTCCCCATAAGAGAACCCTTTGAAGAACCCTCTTTGGAAAGGGTTCTACATGGAACCCCAAAAGGTTCTACCTGGCTGGAACCAAAAATGATGCTCCTATGGGGACAGCCAAAGAACCCTTATGGAACCCTTTTTTCTAAGAGTGTAGGTCAAAGTTACGAAACCAAGAGATGCAGAAATGAATACAACCAAACACTGTAGCTAGGCCTACTTTCAACAACTTAATACATCTCCAGCCCTTTGTGCTTTTGTAATATTAGCATGTTGTACTACCACTTAAGAAGATCAGGATTTATTTGCACTATTTCAGGAATTCTAGAGTTGCAAATGTTCAATCACAATAACAATAGCTATACGGCTGTGTCTTCATGTTGTCCCAGGTCGGATGATGGCGTGAGAGACCTGCCATGGCTGCTGAGGGTGTCACTGTCCTGGCTCCCTGGCTGAGGCTGAGGGCAGTGCTGCTGCTGTATCTGGTGCTGCTCCTCTCCCCCCTGGCCCTGTGTGCCCCATGCCCCAGGGGCTGCAGCTGCCCTGGCATCAAGGAGGTACACTGTACCTTCAGCCACCTCACCTCTGCCCCACGCAACCTGCCCAAGGACACAGAGAGGGTTAACCTGGGGTAAGACTGCTCCTGTACTCCAAATACTGTATAAATGTTCTATTTAATGAAATGGGGGTCATGTGATGTCAAAATATAATGTACTGGAGTGTGACGAGGTTGTGAGCTATTTGTCATGTGATGTCAAAATGTCATGTTCTGGAGTGTGACGAGGTTGTGAGCTATGGTCATGTGATGTCAAAATGTCATGTTCTGGAGTGTGACAAGGTTGTGAGCTATCATCATGTGATGTCAAAATGTCATGTTCTGGAGTGTGACAAGGTTGTGAGCTATCATCATGTGATGTCAAAATGTCATGTTCTGGAATGTGACGGGGTTGTGAGCTATCCTCATGTGATGTCAAAATGTCATGTTCTGGAGTGTGAAGAGGTTGTGAGCTATCAGGTAGCTTAGTGGGTAAGAGCGTTGTGCCAGTAACCGAAAGGTCGCTGGTTCTAATCCCCAAGCTGACTAGGTGAAAAATCTGTCGATGTGCCCTTAAGCAAGGCACTTAACCCTAATTGCTCCTGTAAGTCGCTCTGGATAAGAGCGTCTGCTAAATGACTAAAATGTAAATGTAAATGTCAAAATGTCATGTTCTGGAATGTGACGGGGTTGTGAGCTATCCTCATGTGATGTCAAAATGTCATGTTCTGGAGTGTGAAGAGGTTGTGAGCTATTGTCAAAATGTCATGTTCTGGAGTGTGACCAGGTTGTGAGCTGTCAAAATGTCATGTTCTGGAGTGTGAAGAGGTTGTGAGCTATCGCCATGTGATGTCAAAACGTCATGTTCTGGAGTGTGATGAGGTTGTGAGCTATCGTCATGTGAGGTGAAAATGTCCCTCCATTTTCCGCCACTATTGTTTACCCCAACTAAGTTTGTTACTTTTTTGAAAGCATAAACTCACACACACACATTAACGTACTAACAAATGAAGCAAAATGTATACTACTGTAGTGAACTGCAAGGCAGGGAAGCGATACCGGATCGGTGGCATGAAAGGCGAACACCCTACGCATTGCCTCAAAATGATGAACCTACTTGGTGGGAATTGTAACATGGCTTATATAGCGAGGATCGCTACATTGCCCCCTCCGAACGGGAGGGCACATCTCCGTGCTTCGACCAACTGCGTCCCCCTCACACGTCCGGTCGTGCGTTCTGATGGTCTCACGGCCGCCATCCCACTTCTGACACAGAGAAAGCCACGGATAAGGACGGCGGGGGAGGAAAGCGAACCTGGGTCATTGGCGTGAAAAGCAAACAGACGCATCACTATATGAGCCACCTGACGCATCACTTGGTGGCTCATATAGCGTTGATCGCTACACTATTAAAAATAAACTCCAACACACCAGTAATCTTGATGCTTCCAATAATTTAATGGATCTTATTATCACCAATGTTACGGTCTCACATGACCTTCCTCCATCGATGTACACTCCCCTCCATATGTATTTTGACAGTGAAGCTATTCTACTTAGCTCTATACTCCAGGGTTATTTGAGGGTACAGTGAGGATAAAAAGGTTGTGAACCCTTAGTATTTTCACATATCGAACCTAAAATGTTATTAGATCTTAATATGAGCCCCAATATTTGATAAAGATAACCTGATTAAACAAATTACACAAAAACATGATACTTGTAACATTTATTTATCCACAAATGATTCAACATTCAATATCCATGCGTGAAAGAGTATGTGAACCTTTAGGTTCAGTAAGGGGTGGCACCCCATTGAGCAGAAATGACTTCAACTAAGCGTTTCCTGTAACTGTTGGTCAGTCTCTCACATCGGTTTTGAGGAATTTTGGCCCATTCCTCCTTACAGAACTGTTTCCACTCGGTTCTTTTGAGGGCTTCCTTGCATGGACAGCTGGCTTCAGGTCCTGCCACAACATTTCCATGAGGTTTAGGTCCAGACTTTGACTAGGCCATTCTAAAATGTGGAATATCTTCTTCTGCAGCCATTCTTTTGTAGATCTGCTTGTATGTTTAGGATCATTCTCTTGCTGTATGACCCACTTTCGGTTCAGCTTCAGCACAAGGACAGATGGCCTGACATTCTCCTCTAGAATCTTCTGATACAATGCAGAATTCATGGTTGTGTCAATGATGGCAAGCCATCCAGGTCCTGAGGCAGCAAAGCATCCCCAAACCATCACACTCCCACCACCATGCTTGACGGTTGGGATGAGGTTCTTCTGTTTGAATGCTGTGTTTGGTTTTCGACAAACATAACATTTCTCATTGAGGCCAAAAAAGGTTATACCTTTGATTCATCTGTCCAGAGAACACGCCATTAAATCGAGTTAAGGAGGATATTTGCACCTTTGCAGCCTGAATGGAGAATGCTATATGTACAAACTTGTCCACGGGGAAACAAGTGTATACACCTTCCCAAAGATTGCCTATTATATTGACAAGATAGTCAAGTGACCGCTCTAACAATGGTAATACATGTCCTCAAAGATGGAAGGCGGGAGGGAAGCGGCGAAATCAGGTGGGACTATTTTAGCCAATAAGAAGGCAGATACGCATGTGAACATTATACTGTCTGTGACAGCATGGGCAGCGCTACTGAGTCTATCTCCATGTTAAAGTAGTCAATTTTCTTCTTCTTCATTGGCTGTTTGCTCCCAACTCATATGAATCCCCACCCAGGTGACTACTTTAAAATGGTGGAAGCCCTCAATGGCAGTGTCCATGCTAAAACGGATTATATCCATGATGGGTCCTCTATCTCTGACAACAGGCACAACTCCGACATAAAGTTTTTTTTTTTTCTAAGTTTCCGAAATGCCACGTGAGTCCACTTATATCAATGCATTCGTAACAACCTAACCATAACGAAACTTATATTCAATCAAATATGCCTCACGTTGCAAATTAGCAATTTAAAAAACTTGTTATCCAAAGTCAACACTCTCTCATTGACCTCCATATAAAAATTGCGCACTTTGTGGGCTTATTTTCATGGACCGATTTTGGGCAGAGTAAAACCTCTCGCTTCGCCTCTTCCTCGCTGCCTTCCCTTTGGACAGTAAGATGAAACGACTCAATATCGCCATCTGCTGGCCTTTGGGCTAGTTCCACACCAGCTACACCGAATAAAAATCTAAACGCAGTATGCAACAATTTTACTGAGTTATAGTTCATGTAAATATTTAATTAAATTGTATTTGTCACATGCGCTGAATACCTTACAGTGAAATACTTACAAGCCCTTAACCAACAATGCAGTTTTAAGAAAGAATACCCCCCAAAAAATCACAAAACAATACAATATAAAATAATCCTAAATAAAAGTAACAAATAATTAATTAATTAAAGAGCAGCAGGAAAAATAACAATTACGAGGTTATATACAGGGAGTACCGGTACAGAGTCAATGTGCGGGGTCACCGGTTAGTCGAGGTAATTGAGGTAATATGTACATGTGACTATGCATAAACAGAGAGTAGCAGCAGCATAATAGAGGGGGGGGGGGGGGGGGGGGGGGGGGGGGGGCACTGCAAATAATCTGGGTAGCCATTTGATTAGATGTTCAGGAGTCTTATGGCTTGGGGGTAGAAGCTGTTTAGAAGCCTCATGGACCTAGACTTTGTGCTCCGGTACCGCTTGCCGTGCGGTAGCAGAGAGAACAATCTATGACTAGGGTGGCTGGAGTCTTTAACCATTTTTAGGGCCGTCCTCTGACACCGCCTGGTATAGTGGAAATCAGTCAATTGAAATAAATTAATTTGGCCCTAATCTCTGGATTTCACATGACTAGGAATACAGATATGCATCTGTTGGTCACAGATACCTTCTTTCTTTTTAAGTAGGCGCGTGGATCAGAAAACCAGTCAGTATCTGGTGTGACCACCATTTGCCTCATGCAGTGCGGCTGTGCGAAGTTGCTGGATATTGGCGGGAACTGGAATACGCTGTCGTACACGTCGATCCAGAGCATCCCAAACATGCTCAATGGCTGACATGTCTGGTGAGTATGCAGGCCATGGAAGAACTTGGACATTTTCAGCTTCCAGGAATTGTGTACAGATCCTTGCGACATGGGGCCGTGCATTATCATGCTGAAACATTAGGTGATGGCGGCGGACGAACGGCACGACAATGGGCCTCAGGATCTCATCATGGTATCTCTATGCATTCAAATTGCCATTGATAAAAATACAATTGTGTTCGTTGTCCGTAACTTATGACTGCCCATACCATAACCACACCGCCGCCGTGGGGCACTCTGTTCACAACGTTGACATTAGCAAACCGCTCGCCCACACAACACCATACACACCGTTTGCCATATGCCCGTTACAGTTGAAACCGGGATTTATCCATGAAAAGCACACTTCTCCAGCATGCCAGTGGCCATCAAAGGTGAGCATTTTCCCCACTGAAGTCGGTTACAACGCCAAACTGCAATCAGGTCAAGACCCTGGTGAGGACGAAAAGCACGCAGATGAGCTTCCATGAGACGGTTTCTGACAGTTTATGCAGAAGTTCTTCAGTTGTGCAAACCCACAGTTTCATCTGCTGTCTGGGTGGCTGGTCTCAGACGATCCCGCAGGTGAAGAAGCCGGATGTGGAGGTTCTGGGCTGGCATGGTTACACGTGGTCTGCGGTTGTGAGGCTGGTTGGACGTACTGCCAAATTCTCTAAAACGACGTTGGAGGTGGCTTATGGTAGAGAAATTGACATTCAATTATCTGGCAACAGCTCTGGTGGACATTCCTGCAGTCTGCATGCCAATTGCGCGCTCCCTCAAAACTTGAGACATCTGTGGCATTGTGTTGTGTGACAAAACTGCAAATGTTTTATTGGTCTTTTATTATCCCAGCACAAATCAGATCAAATCAAATGTATTTATTTATAAAGCCCTTTTTACATCAGCAGATATCACAAAGTGCTTATACAGAAACCCAGCCTAAAACCCCAAACAACAAGCAATGCAGATGTAGAAGCATGGTAGCTAGGAAAAACTCCCTAGAAAGGCAGGAACCTAGGAAAAAACCTAGAGGTGAACCAGGCTCTGAGGGGTGGCCAGTCCTCTTCTGGTTGTGCCGGGTGGAGATTATAAGAGTCCATGGCCATTAAGGCCAGATTGTTCTTCAAGATGTTCAAACGTTTATAGATGACCAGCAGGGTCAAATAATAATCACAGTGGTTGTAGAGGGTGTAACAGGTCAGTACCTCAGGAATAAATGTCAGTTGGGTTTTCATAGCCGAGCATTCAGAGGTCGAGACAGCAGGTACCTATGTAATGATCATGCTGTTTAATCAGCTTCTTGATATGCCACACCTGTCAGGTGGATGGATTATCTTGGCAATGGAGAAATAATCACTAACAGGGATGTAAACAAATTTGTACACAAAATATGTGAGAAATATTAATATTTATTATTTCAGCTCATGAAACATGGGACCAACACTTGAAATGTTGCGTTTCTATTTTTGTTCAGTGTAAATAGACTGTCGGGTCCTCTATCTTAATAATACACAATATGATAGGCCTACATGTTCTGGTTTTATTTGACAGCCCAGTTTAACATGGTAGCCTACTTACAAGAAACTATGGGGCGCTCTGGGTTATGGGAATTTAACTGATATATAATCGTTTTTAAAGAACGCCATGTACTTGCACCAAACAATCCATGGTACATGTTGGGGGGTTCTGTTGTTGGAATGGCTTACACTGGTGTAACATATTTTAAATAACTTTCCTTGCCAATAGATTGCTCGATCTGTTCCATGTCTTTGAGGATTTCTCAGGATTATTGGCTCTTTACTTGGCTCTTGGGTTGATGTTTATATTTCACACAGGCAGGCAGCTCCTGCAACATTCTCATGTTGTTCCCTCCCTCTCTATGTCTCTCTCTCTGTAGCTATAACAGCCTCCAGGCAGTGGGAGGGTCAGAGTTCAAAGAACTCCGCCAGCTGGAGATGCTTATGCTCCATGGGAATGACATCACGACCGTATCTTCAGGAGCGTTTTACAGCCTGCGCTCTCTGCAGGTAAGGTCCCCCGACAGACTGGCTGGCACCAAGGGGAGTCTGTCATCATATTCAAGACAAGAAGGATAACCTACATAGATGCATAACAGTCAGGGGATTGTGTCTCACTACTAAACATTCAGTCACTTGTCTACAGGCAATCGATTTTTTTAACCAATTTGTCTTTCTTGCCAGATTCTGAAGCTGAGCTACAACAAGCTGGAGGCCATCACCCCTGGTATGTTTGAGGGCTTGGTCAGCCTGGTGCGACTCCACCTGGACCGCAACAACATAGACTTCATCGAGCCGTACACCTTCAGTGGGCTAACATCATTAAAACTCCTACAGTTAGAGGGGAACAAGCTGAGGGACCTCCACCCACACAGCTTCATCACCCTCTCTCTCCTGGGGAACTTCTGGAGCTCTGGGCTGCGTCACCTCCACCTGTCGGACAACCAGCTGCACTACCTCCAGCCTGGGACCCTGCAGCCCCTCAGCAAACTGGAGCTGCTCCCTAATGGAAGTGGAACCTGTGAAGTTTCCCGTGGGTGCCGGGGGGGAACAAAAAACAGAGGGGAGGCCCCTTTGCTTGGGGGTGAGGAGAGAAGAGAGAGGCCCAGAGAGCGGGGAGGAGCGAGGGGGGGGGAGGGAGAAAAGAGGGAGAGAGGCGAAAAGGAGGGGGCGCCCGGGACGGGCAAAGCGAGCGAGCCTACCGCCAGAGCGGAGAGGCCGCGCGGGCGAGAGAGGCGCCGAGGAGAGACGGAGAGAAGAGAGGAGAGAGAAACGAGGCGCGGGAGGAGAGTGCCGGAGGAGAGCCGAGGATGGAGAGAAGCCCACGGCAGCGGAGAGAAGCGGCCAGGAGCGGAAAGAAGAACAAGGGGCCGCGGGAGAGAGAGCGCGACACAAGGGAATCCCGCCCGCGAGGAGGAGGAAAAGGGGACCAAACCGACCAAGCAAGCCCCAAAGACAAAGGGGGCCAAAACAGGGAAGAGAGAGATTGAAGGGGACGGGAAAAGCGCGACGGAGAAAACAGAAAGGAGAACCAGGGCCAGCGACCCAGAGGAGCGGAACAACAAGAAGGAACAAAGGAGACGAAGAACGCGTCAAAGCCGAAAGAGCCGATGAATAGTTCCATATGACCCTCTATAGCTATAGATTCCTTCCTAAATTTTCCCTCTATATGCATCTCCTTTCTCCTCTCCCCTCTCTTATTTCTTCTGCTTTTTAGTCCAGTGTTTCCATTCTGGTTCTTCCAAATTGCCATTTGTAGCTGTTTAACTGTAAAGTTGCGTTTGAATACCCAGAGGAAAAAAACCCCCACTCCTCCTAACTTGGGGGCCTTCCCTGGGCCGGGCCCGGACCCCAGGGGGGCGAGGGACACACAGGGGGAGGTCCGCGGGCCCCGGACGCCCCCGAAACGGACGGGGAGGAGGAAGAGGGGCGATGGCCCAAGCGGAGGAACGGGAAGCGGGAGAGAGAGAGGGGAGGGGAGGGAGAAGCGAGTTGGGAGGGGCGCGCGCGGCGAGAGCGAGGCAGGCGAGAAGAGGGGCGCGGGGGAGCGAGCGCGAGCCAGGAGGAGGAAAGGCGGGAGAGAGGGAGAAGGGAGAGGAGCCGGCGAGAGAGAAGCAGGCGCCCCCCAGGGAGGGGCGGAGGGAGAGGGGGAAAGGGGAACGCGCGGGGTTGGAAAACCCGGGGCAAAGAAAAGAGAGGGGAAAAAAGCAAGCCCCCCCAAAGGAACTAAGAAAGGGAAAATATGGAAGAGCTTTCTCCCCAAGGGGGAAAATCTCCATACCCTTATACATAATTGTCTTTTACCATGATATACCTATCTCTTTTTTAATATTTTTTTATTTTCTATCTACCTTATATTTCTCCCTCCAAATAATTGCCGTTTTTTTACCTTTTCCTTGGTTATTTCTCCCAATTCCAATTCGCCAAGGTAACAAACCCGGGGAAGGGAAAGGTAGCAAAGGGGGGGGAGCAAGACATAGCCGGGGAAAGCCAGGGCGGACGAAACTGCCAGGCGAACGGGGGGAAGACAAAAGAAGCATGGACGGGAGCCAAATCCTCGTACATGCTTTTCTCTCTTCGCCCCAAACCTTGTTTCCTATCTTCTCTTTTTATATATTTTTTTTATTCTTCTCTCTTTTCTTCTCCTTTTGTTCTTTTCTTCTCTCTTTCTTGTCTTCTGTTCTTTTTTCTTTCTTCTTGCTTGCCTGTTTTTTTTTGTCTATTCTCTTCTCTGTCTTTCCTCTTCTCTTCTTCTCTCTCTTTTCTCTCTCTCCCTCTTCTCTCTTTCTTCTCCTTTTCTCTGTTTCTCTGTCTCCCCTTCCTTGTCTCCCCTTTCTTTAATATTTTTAACCCCCTCCTCTATCTTTGGTTCTCCCTCTCTTTGGGCCCGTCCGGGGCCTCGGCCGTGCTTGCGCTTTTTGGGTCCCTCAAAGGTGGCGCCGTCTTTTCCCCCCAAGAAAACCCCCCCGGGCCGGCCCCCGGCCCCCCCCTTTTCCCTCCCCCGGAAAACGTGGGCTGCCGTGGGGCCCGGCAGAAGACCTCCCAGAGTGGACTCGGGGGCCGGGTTGCAACTTAAAAATGTTCCCAGGGTAGCGGTAACATGGAAGTTAGGGTTCCTGAAGATACGAAAAACAATGCTTTCTAGCGTGACGTAATGAACCGAAGAGGATAAACATCACTCAATTTGCAAGCATCTTCGAGCATAGATCGGCCTCATCTCTCTATATCATGCTCCTATCGATAGATCCAGTATCCTTATCTCTCTATCTCTCTCTCTCTATCTTCTCTCTCTCTCTCTCTTCTCTCTTCTCTTCCTCTCTCTCTCTCTCTCTTCTCCTTCTCTACTCTCTCTCTTCTCTCTCTCTCTCTCTCTATATCTATATATATATATATATATATCTTTCTCTCTCTATCTCTATATCTCTCTATCTCGCTCTTTTCCTTTCTCTGTCTGTCTGTCTCTCTTTCTCTCTCTCTCTCTCGCTCTCTGTCTTTCTTTCTGTCTGTCTCTGTCTCTGTCTCTGTCTCTGTCTCTGTCTCTGTCTCTGTCTCTGTCTCTGTCTCTGTCTCTCTCTCTCTATCTCTCTCTCGCTCTCTCTCTCTCTCTCTCTCTCTCTCTCTCTCTCTCTCTCTCTCTCTCTCTATCTGTTTCTCTGTCTGTCCCTCGCTCTGTCTCTCTCTGTGTCTCTCTGTCTCTGTCAGGAGTGATTAAGTGTAAGAAGGAGCGGGACGCTGCCTCTAGTGAGAGCTGTGTTGTGTGCTCCTCACCTCAGTCCTTAAATGGCAGCCAGGTCCTGGGGCTGTCTGCTGGCCAGCTGGCCTGTGAGCGTCCCTCTCTGGAGTCCCCTCTGAAGCAGTGGGACAGCCCCGGTTGGGACGACACGGACTCAGAGCCCGACCTGCCCTACACCAGGGACCTGGAACGTCCCCTGGGCCACCTCACCTTCGTCCTGACCGACAGCCACGGGAACAAAGCGCACGTGGCCTGCGACGTCCGGCGGCCCAGCAAGAGCTCCTCCATGACGTGGGAGAACCTGCGGACGTCTGGGGAGGTGGCGGTCAATGTGAGCCTGGTCAGCCTGCTGGAGTGTGAAATCGATCGGGACGCTCTGCAGAACCTCTGGAGGTTGGTGGCCTACTACTACGAGAGCCCCGCCCTCCTGGAGAGGGGGATGAGGAGGGAGAACACCAGCAGAGTCACGTTTCAGTACTCCCAGGGTCATAACGAGGAATCCCCTTACTTTACAGATCTCAACGGACACTTAATGGCTGAACCGACGTGGCTCCTCCAACCAAGGGTCACCCTGCAGCTGAACAGGCGGCAAACCACCACGAAAAAACTGGTGCTGGACTTTACCACGTTCATCTCCAAGCACATCAGTGGTAGGGGAGAGCAGGAGGATATGATTTCCTCCTGGGCCCTAATACAGAGAGGAAGCCCTGGGAGAGTTCAGTCTGTGCTGGAGGGCTCTGAGGTCAGTCTGGGGTGTACAGTTATCAGTTCAGGGTCACAGTCTTTGGAGTGGATGCTCCCAGATCTATCTATCCTGGAAGAATCTAATTCCCGGCTGGTGTCTGAGGGAGGCAGACTGGTCATTAGGAATGCTAGTGTGTCTGACTCTGGGCTGTATCACTGTCTGGTCCGCACCGAGACTGACGTGGACATGGTGCCTGTGAGGTTGACAGTAAAAGAACGCCTGCTCAGCCCGAGCACTCTAAATGGGAAGAAGATGGAAGTGGAGAGCGGGGAGTCCCTCTCACTCCCCTGCTATGTGAACTCAGCACAGCCTAGCGAGACACGCTGGTACCTCCCTAAAAATCAGATCCTACAACCGTCGCAACCGAAGGGGAGGGTTTACGTCAATCAAAATGGATCTCTGGTGATCAAAAAGACAACTCATGAGGACGCTGGGGAGTACAGCTGTTTGGCTGCTAACCTCTATGGAGTAGACATGTTGGCTCATCTTGTGGTCGTCACAGGGGAGAAAGACTTGGATGCAAAAGAAGAGGTTGAGAAACAATCATCTGGTGTTGAAACAGCCAGAGGAGAATCACCTTTGTTTGGGAGTGAGGAGGATGAAGGTGAAGGGTCGGGGTTCCAGGCGATAAAAGGCCCCCATGTTACACAGTCTCCTAAGAGGGTGGGTGGACAACAGAGGTACCCTGGAGGGCTTCTACGCCCTGGTATGAAAGGGAAAAGGATCAAGGATAACAAGAGGAAATCTAATAAGTCTGTCAAGGAGCTCGACCCCAACCGCTGGGCTGAGATCCTAGCCAAAGCTAACGCTAAGCCTCCGACACTACCGCCTACAAGACAATCACTAACTACACCAACAACAAAAACAGCAACGACAATGACAGCCAAAACCACTGTGACTACTCCTAAACCCACTACTACCACTACTACTACTACCACTACTACTCCTAAACCCACTACTACTCCTCCTACCACTACTACTCCTAAACCCACTACTACCACTACCACTACTACCACTACTACTCCTAAACCCACTACTACTCCTACTACCACTACTACTAGAAAAACTACAACAACTACAACCACAACAACAACAACTACTACTCCTCCTTCAACTACCAGAAAAACCACAACTAAAAAGCCCACCAAGAGCCATTCTAAAACAAGCCACCACACAGAAACAGAAGGTGAATTGGACTTTTCCGAAAAGCAACCTGAACTTTTACGACCTCCACCTAGAAAACATGTGACACAGGCCCCAAAAGGGAAAGCACCACTTGTGCACCGTGGTAGAGGTAGAGGAGGTCCAAACCCAGATTCAGACTCGGTCATAAACCTGTCTGTTACAGAAACTCCTCAATCCGTCACACAACCAGTGCAGCTAGAGGACAAGCATGTGGGGAGGGAGACAGAGAGAGTGAACCAGAAGAACAATCCTGTTTGGACAAACAGACGGAGACCCCCTTACAGACGGGGAAGACCCCCACAGAGACGGGTTCGACCTCAGAAACCCTCCCTCCCCTCATCACACAAACCACAGGCGACACTCCCTCACCTCGCAACAAGAGTGGAAAAACAAGAATCTACTGCATTGCGAAATGACAATTTTAAAATGGAGGACAATATTACAGAACACATACCCACTATTTCAACACATGATGACAATGAGCCCGTTGATCCAATCATTAAGCCCAGCACTGCAATAGACAAATCAGATAGCATTCACACAAAATCATTAACACCAGAGGTGAAAGACCCTAATATATTTAACCCTTCAAACAGGGAGCATGTGCCTGCACCAGAGACAATCACCTCAGCAGAAAATCTACCTCCCCCAACTGAGGTGCCTCGACAGGAGAGGACATGGGAGAACTTAAATAAACAGGATGTTATCAGACAGACTACCCAAAACATGCAAACATCCCCAAAGACAACAACAACAACAAAGCCCACTCGTATTAATTATGACATTAATTTAAAACCTAATTTGTCACATGATACGGTTGCAATGGCAACACCAGTCCTGACTAAACCTGACATTTCAGATAAGGGAGCTGAAAAGCAAGAAACCCCTTTAACAAAAGTCAATTTTCAAAATCCAACTCCTAAAAAATCACAAGATAAGACACAAACACATTTGAGAACCGTTGCAAAAGGCAGTGCTGCTCGGGAGGACATTCTGAGGAACACACACATAAACTCAGATAAAAAGGAGGAGGATCACTCTAAAATTAAACCTGACAGTCCCAGTCTCCCCATCCACCCCTGGATCCACCAACAGCACGTCCAAAGGAGGGTTCAAACCACCCCTCCGTCCCGCGCTCCCACCCCCTATTGGCCTTATAGCCGCTTCCCAGTGTGGCCCTCAGTTCATGGTTCAGGGCCACATCCTGCCTTTACAGAGAGGCCCAGGCTTTTCCCCCACCCAGAGGGCCGGGGCGCTGGGGTCACCAATCGACCAGAAATCACAGCTGAGACTGTCAGGCCCACAGCATTCATCTCTGCTTCACCGGGCAGTGACATGGCAGCCCCGCTGACCTCCCACCCACCCCACAGGGGCCCAGGCCCAGCTAGCAGGACCCGACAGCAGGACCTCTTAATGCTCTCCAAGCTCAGAAACAGATACAGACAGGCTCAGCTCGACCGCATTTCACAGCTAGGGAAAAGAGTGACACCTAAGCCTAAGATCAGTCACCCTACACCCAGACCTCACTACCAGCCTCCCACTCCGTCATACAACTACTGGCCTGTGCCCCCCACCACCTCCCTCCCCATGCCTACCAACAGGCCCTACTCCACAGCCAGTGTCCTGTACGGCAGCCACTGGCACTCCAGCCACTGGGGCCCGAGGAGGCTGAGCACGGCCCTGCCGTTCCCCAACCTGATGGGTAGTGGGGTGAAGCCTAGGATCACCTCTGTGAACACAGTCAGTGTGTCTGCCCTGGCTGAGGGCGATGTGCTGCTGCCCTGTGAAGCATCAGGAGACCCACAGCCAGTGCTCTCCTGGACTAAAGTCTCCACAGGTATTTTCAACACTTTTATTATGAAATACTTTGCAGGGTAGAAACAATTATTGCCTCTCTGTAATGAATTACAGTATAGCCTCTCTGTAATGCATGGCATAAATATTATGACTTCAGGCTCTTGTGAGCTTACCATAGTAAAAAATAATATACAACAGAAACACTATATTTTACAAGCTTTTTAACATTCTAGGAGGGGCAGAAATAATATACAGTGGGGGAAAAAAGTATTTAGTCAGCCACCAATTGTGCAAGTTCTCCCACTTAAAAAGATGAGAGAGGCCTGTAATTTTCATCATAGGTACACGTCAACTATGACAGACAAATTGAGGGAAAAAAAATCAAGAAAATCACATTATAGGATATTTTATGAATTTATTTGCAAATTATGGTGGAAAATAAGTATTTGGTCACCTACAAACAAGCAAGATTTCTGGCTCTCACAGACCTGTAACTTCTTCTTTAAGAGGCTCCTCTGTCCTCCACTTGTTACCTGTATTAATGGCACCTGTTTAAACTTGTAATCAGTATAAAAGACACCTGTCCACAACCTCAAACAGTCACACTCCAAACTCCACTATGGCCAAGACAAAAGAGCTGTCAAAGGACACCAGAAACAAAATTGTAGACCTGCACCAGGCTGGGAAGACTGAATCTGCAATAGGTAAGCAGCTTGGTTTGAAGAAATCAACTGTGGGAGCAATTATTAGGAAATGGAAGACATACAAGACCACTGATAATCTCCCTCGATCTGGGGCTCCACGCAAGATCTGAAGAGGATTGGGAGAATGTCATATGGTCAGATGAAACCAAAATATAACTTTTTGGTAAAAACTCAACTCGTCGTGTTTGGAGGACAAAGAATGCTGAGTTGCATCCAAAGAACACCATACCTACTGTGAAGCATGGGGGTGGAAACATCATGCTTTGGGGCTGTTTTTCTGCAAAGGGACCAGGACGACTGATCCGTGTAAAGGAAAGAATGAATGGGGCCATGTATCGTGAGATTTTGAGTGAAAACCTCCTTCCATCAGCAAGGGCATTGAAGATGAAACGTGGCTGGGTCTTTCAGCATGACAATGATCGCAAACACACCGCCCGGGCAACGAAGGAGTGGCTTCGTAAGAAGCATTTCAAGGTCCTGGAGTGGCCTAGCCAGTCTCCAGATCTCAACCCCATAGAAAATCTTTGGAGGAAGTTGAAAGTCCGTGTTGCCCAGCGACAGCCCCAAAACATCACTGCTCTAGAGGAGATCTGCATGGAGGAAGGGGCCAAAATACCAGCAACAGTGTGTGAAAACCTTGTGAAGACTTACAGAAAACGTTTGACATTTACATTTTAGTCATTTAGCAGACGCTCTTATCCAGAGCGACTTACAGTTAGTGAGTGCATACATAATTTTTTTTATACTGGCCCCCCATGGGAATCGAACCCACAACCCTGGCGTTGCAAACGCCATGCTCTACCAACTGAGCTACATCCCTGCCGGTCACTCCCTCCCCTACCCTGGACGACGCTGAGCCAATTGTGCTCCGCCCCATGGGTCTCCCGGTCGCGGCCGGCTACGACAGAGCATGGATTCGAACCAGGATCTCTAGTGGCACAGCTAGCACTGCGATGCAGTGCCTTAGAACACTGCGCCACTTTGACCTGTGTCATTGCCAACAAAGGGTATATAACAAAGTATTGAGAAACTTTTGTTATTGACCAAATACTTATTTTCCACCATAATTTGCAAATAAATTCATTAAAAATCCTACAATGTGATTTTCTGGATTTTTTTTCTTATTTTGTCTGTCATAGTTGACGTGTACCTATGATGAAAATTACAGGCCTCTCTCATCTTTTTAAGTGGGAGAACTTGCACAATTGGTGGCTGACTAAATACTTTTTTCCCCACTGTATGCATGGGCTGAGACTCGAAAGGATTAGACATTTGTAAAATATATTAACAAAATAGCACCACCTGAGTGTGCTCAACTCATGCCGTAATATTTGACAGAGAGACCCTTGACAAAAACTCCACAATGATTTACCGCATTAACATTTTGACGCAAGACTAATCCAGAGTACCAATGATGTGCTTCTCTCTCCTTTCAACAACAGGTGCTACCGTCCAAGCCAACACAAAACATGGACAGAGATTTCAAGTTGTAAAGAACGGCACCTTTGTGATTAAAAACGTTCAGCTACAGGACAGAGGCCAGTACCTCTGCACGGCACAGAACACATTTGGCTCGGACCGAATGGTCATTACCCTGGCTGTGCTGACCCAGCCTCCCAAAATCATAGGTCCCCACTCCAGAGAGGTCCCAGTGTATTTGGGGAAGGCTATAAGCTTAGACTGTGTAGCCTCTGGCAAGCCCCAGGCTCAGATCTCCTGGATTCTTCCAGACAGGACCTTTGTGCGTGATGTGGGAGCTCTTGACAGGTCAGCCTCTCTGCTGGCTAACGGCACCCTGAGGATCCAATCAGCCAACTTCTCCACTAAAGGCGACTATAAATGTATCGCTAGCAATGCGGCCGGGGCTGACACGGTGACTTTTCACATCCACGTGGCAGCGCTACCGCCCACCATCAATGAGGAGGCCTCGGAGAGCATCGTCATCCAGGCAGGGAGAAGTGTGTACGTCCACTGCACTGCCAAGGGAGAGCCTGCGCCCATGCTAAAGTGGACCCTCCCTGCAGGGGTACATGTCAAACCTTCCCAGTTCCTCGGCAGAAGAATGTTTGTCTTCCCCAATGGGACGCTGTACATCAAGAACATCTCTCCAGCCGACTCGGGGAGTTATGAATGCTCTGTGACCAACGCAGTGGGCGCGGCCAGGAGAGTTCTGTACCTGGAGGCCAGGCAGGAGGTCCCCAGCCTGCGACAGTCACACCACCCCTCCCAAAAGCACAGAGTCACAGCCATGTATGGCTCCACTGTGTACCTGCACTGTCCAGAGTCCACTGGCTCTCCCCGTGGCACTCTGTGGCAGCTACCGTCCAAAACATTGCTGGAACATCGCTACAGGTAACTCCACCATGCTAGTAATCAAACCTATATAGGAGTTTTCCGATAAAAAATAATACACTGTGCTGATATTGATTCGATATCAGAGATCTGAAGAATTGTTATAGTTATTAATTAAGCTAAATTATTTCACAAGACCTTTAGAAGTAATATTTTTTCCATTAGTTCTATCGGTTGAGATTCTATGCTATCATTCTAATCGCTTTCCCCTCAGTGACCTTATAAAGAACTTCTAAACTCTATTTCAGCCCTCAATTTCAGGGAGGTTAAATCAAACGCAATTAGTGTCATTCAAAACAAGCTAACTGCTGGAGCCTGACCAAGGTCAACCAGCCTGTGGTTTCAGGGTCAGAAACCCTGATGGGTCCCGCTGTCAGAGACTACATTCTTAAAAATTAGGTTCCAGTTGGAACTAAATAAGGTTCTTCAGAGCGATGCCATAGGGGAATCATTTTAGATTCTCTGAAGAACCTTAAATGGGATGGTTCTTTGAAGAACTACACACACTCAACACCTTATTTTATGCAGATAAGGTGCTGAGCCTTATTTGCATATTGACCAGGGTGCCTTTTGAGTGAATTTTAGAGTTACCAGTACCACCCATGACTGTGCTTGCTAGTGAAAGAGAAATGGTTGCTGCATTCATTCATTTTCAGTCCTGTGGCCTTCACCAAGTGAGATCCTAAGTGAATGTGTTGTCATTCAAATTAAATTATTTAAGACAATACAATACCTATTTCATAAAGCCTTATTTTGCGGGCCTACTTTTACCCTAATACAGTGGCCTTTCATAGTTTACAGGCAACATTAGGCATGCCAGTCACATTATGCTGGCTTGCAAAGTGATGTGTAATTCCTATTGGAATCCACCCAGAGTGGGGATAGCCAAAATCCGGGAGAATTTTTTTTGTCCGCAACCTGCATTCAAAATGACTGCCAGGGTTGGGAAGACTAAGATAAGAGACTACCTAAAGCATCTAAACTGAAACAACAATTTTAGTAACGGGTGCAATAAGTCCAAGTAACAGATTTGATTAGTTTAGAAAAAAATATGTTATTTATATTTGAGTAGCATAAGATTAATTAATCAATCAATGTACATGCAAAAACATAGATATAAACCTAAAAATCAACCTGCAATAGAGAATGCTGGGAAATATGATAATGATAGGCGTGGTTTTGGTTAAACTCTGGTTATTAACACCAACACTTGGGTTATTTTACACCACTGAGTATTCATTTAACTCTTTACAGTTTTAATTTATCTCTTGAATCAACACTACAAATGCTACACTGAAATATCAACACTAGTTAAAACTGGCCAATTTGCTGTGTGCTATGAAAGGGACCGGCTTCCATACATTTCAAGAACCTTTTAGAATTCTGATGAACCGTAGATGCCACGTCAAGAACCCCACACTGAACTCAAAGGTTCTTTATCGGGCAAAAGTTCTCCAAGGAAGAACCTTCATTTTTTCCCGTCTAAAAATATCCTTACGGTCAATTTGCAGGGCATCTGTCGAGTACACCCAATTAATTCCTGCTCATCATGGTTTCCCAAACAGTGGAACGCTAGTAGCACAGAATTCAGTAAGACAAGAGAAGCAGGAAATGAGAGAAGCACTGTTGTACAGATACAAAGTATCTATTGTGCAGTTACATTATGTAATTGCACAATAATTGAAAATCCAGTGTAACTAAATGGTTAAAATGTTTGCACATAATGTTATTAGAATGTATCTTACAACATAATAAATATTAAATTGTTCTCAATGTCACTAAAATCATATTGTATTTGTGATAAAAAAACAGACTTCCGCCGAAGTTGGTGCCTCTCCTTGTGCGGGCGGCTATTGGCGGTCGTCGTCACCGGCTTTCTAGCTGCCACCGATCTACGTTTCTGTTTTCCATTTGTTTTGTCTGTATTGTACACACCTGGTTCCCATCACGTTAATTTGTTTCCCTATTTAACCCTCTGGTTCCCTCATGGTGTTGTGCGTGATTGTTCTTTGTTTGGTGTTTATACTGCTGTGAGCTGATGTATTTCCCTGCGTGGAAATTAGATTTGTTGTTTTTCGAGTAAAGTTTGTCTATTACTCAGTTCTGTGTCCTGCGCCTGACTCTGTCCTACCGCTGCACACTGACACCTGACAGAATCACGCACCACCTATGGAGTCAGCAGGTGCACCCAGTCCTCTGGTACCGGTGGAGGAGCGCGTCCAGCAGCACACGACTATGCTCCACAATCTGGGCACAGCAATGGATCGCGTGCTGCACACCATGGAGTGATGGGAGAGAGAGGGTTTTTCCACACCCCCATCAACTTCACCTCAACCCACACCGCTGTCCACCCCTCCGTCACCTGGACCCAGTGGGATTCGGCTCTCGCTGCCGAAGGCCTATGATGGGATGGCTGCCGGGTGCAAGGGGTTCCTGCTCCAGGTGGAGCTCTACCTGGCGACCGTCCACCCGGATCCCTCGGGTTACGAGAGAGTGTCCGCCCTCATCTCCTGTTAGTCGGGGAAATGCTAGAGTGGGCCAACGCCAAATGGGGAGGGATAGACGCTACGTTGGTTCGCTACGAGGATTTCACCCGCCGTTTCCGGGCGGTCTTTGATCATCCGCCTGAGGGGAGAGCGGCGGGGGAACGTCTGTTCCATCTCAGACAGGGGAAGAGGAAGAGGAGCGCACAGGACTTCGCTCTGGACTTCAGGACCCTGGCTGCCAGCACGCGATGGAATGAGAGGACCCTGATCGACCATTACCGGTGTAGTCTACAGGAGGACGTTCGTCGGGAGCTGGCCTGCAGGGACACCACCCTTCCACTCGACCAGCTGGTAGATTTATCCATCCGGCTGGATAACCTGTTGGCCACCCGCGGACGTCCGGATCAGGGTCCGTCCATTCCATCCCCCAGCACCTCCGACCCTACCCCTATGGAGCTCGGAGGTGCTGCTCTAAGGGTGACCGTTTCCTGCACCAAGTGTGGCCGCAGAGGGCACACTGCTGGTCGGTGCTGGGGAGGTTCCCCAGGGAGTCGAGGCAGCAGGCAGGGCACTGGTGGATCATCCCAGGTGAGTAGGCACCCAACTCACCCAGAGCTCCCTGTTGCGCACACGTATGTCTGTATAAGGTTTCCTGAGTTTTCCCCGCATTCCCAGCATAAGGCGCTAGTAGATTCAGGCGCAGCTGGGAACTTTATTGACTGTGCATTTGCACTTAGATTAGGGATCCCTATTGTTCCTGTTGATGTGCCCTTTCCTGTACATGCCTTAGATAGTCGTCCTTTAGGATCAGGCCTGATTAGGGAGGTCACAGCTCCATTATGTATGATAACGCAGGAGGGTCATGAGGAGAGTATTAGTCTCTTCCTGATCGATTCTCCTGCGTTTCCTGTGGTGTTGGGGCTTCCCTGGTTCGTGGCAACAGAGGGCTCTGAAGGGATGGTCACGTCAGTGCTCAAGGAGGTGTGTAGGTGTTTCCGTAGGTGCAACTTCGGTGGAAAGTCCAAACCAGGTCTCCCCCATGCACATTCCCCCCGAATATGCCGATTTGGCTCTCGCCTTCTGTAAAAAGAAGGCGACTCAATTACCACCCCATCGACGGGGGGATTGTGCGATACATCTCCAGGTAGACGCAGCACTTCCCAGGAGTCACGTGTATCCTCTGTCACAGGAGGAGACGGCGGCTATGGAAACATATGTCTCTGAATCTCTGGGACAGGGATACATTCGGCCTTCCACTTCACCTGCCTCCTCGAGTTTCTTTTTTGTGAAGAAGAAGGATGGAGGTTTACGCCCGTGCATTGACTATCGGGGTATAAATCAGATCAGGGTGAAGTACAGTTACCCGTTGCCTCTCATAGCCAGTGTGACCGAGTCATTGCACGGGGCTCCAACCACGGTAAAGGAAGTGCAGCGGTTCATGGGGTTTTCCAACTACTCCCGGATGTTTATCCGGTGCTTTGGTCAGGTAGCGGCTCCCATTACCTCCTTGCTGAAGGGGGGACCAGTGCGACTGCAGTGGTCAGCTGGGGCGGACAGGGCTTTTGGTCACCTGAAGGCTCTGTTTACCTCGGCTCCCGTGCTGGCTCATCCGGATCCCTCTTTAGCATTCATAGTAGAGGTGGACGCGTCCGAGGCTGGGATAGGAGCTGTGCTGTCTCAGCGCTTGGGTACGCCACAAAAGCTCCGCACCTGTGCTTTCTTTTCGAAGAAGCTCAGCCCGGCGGAGCAAAACTATGATGTGGGGGACTGGGAGCTGTTAGCTGTTGTCAAGGCTCTGAAGGCATGGAGACATTGGCTTGAGGGGGCTAAACATCCTTTCCTCATTTGGACTGACCACCGCAATCTGGAGTACATCCGGGCGGCGAGGAGACTGAACCCTCGCCAGGCAAGGTGGGCCATGTTTTACACCCGTTTTGTTTTCACCCTATCCTACAGACCAGGTTCCCAGAACGCTAAGGCAGACGCTCTGTCCCGGATGTATGACTCAGAGGAGCGGTCCACGGATCCCACTCCCATACTTCCAGCTTCTTGCCTGGTGGCACCGGTGGTATGGGAGGTTGACGCGGACATCAAGCGGGCGTTACGTACGGAGCCCACTCCCACCCAGTGTCCGGTTGGGCGTCTGTATGTTCCGTTTGATGTCCGTGATCAATTGATCAATTGGGCCCACACTTCACGCTCCTCTGGTCATCCTGGCATCGGTCGGACAGTGCGCTGTCTTAGTGGGAATACTGGTGGCCCACTTTAGCTAAGGAAGTGAGGGTTTATGTTTCCTCCTGCTCGGTGTGCGCCCAGTGCAAGGCACCTAGACACCTGCCCAGAGGGAAATTACAACCCCTACCCGTTCCACAACGGCCGTGGTCACACCTATCGGTGGACTTCGTGACGGATCTCCCTCCGTCACAAGGTAACACCACGATCCTGGTCGTTGTGGATCGGTTTTCTATGTCCTGCCATCTCCTTCCTTTGCCCGGTCTCCCTACGGCCCTACAGACTGCGGAGGCTCTGTTTACCCACGTCTTCCGGTACTACGGGGTGCCTGAGGATATAGTGTCTGATCGGGGTCCACAGTTCACATCGAGGGTCTGGAGGGCATTCATGGAACGTCTGAGGGTCTCGGTCAGCCTGACCTCAGGTTTTCACCCCGAGAGTAATGGGCAGGTGGAGAGAGTTAACCAGGATGTGAGTAGGTTTCTGCGGTCTTATTGCCAGGACCGGCCAGGGGAGTGGGTGGCTTTCATCCCCTGGACAGAGATGGCCAAAAACTCCCTCCGCCACTCCTCCACTAACATGTCTCCATTTCAGTGTGTACTAGGGTATCAGCCGGTTCTGGCACCGTGGCATCAGAGCCAGATCGAGGCACCTACGGTGGATGAATGGTTTCAGCGCTCGGAGGAGACCTGGGACGCTGCCCATGTGCGCCTGCAACGGGCCATCAGGCGACAGAAGGCAAGTACCGACCGCCACTGCAGTAAGGTGCATACACCGGGGGACCGGGTCTGGCTCTCGACCCGAAATCTGCCCCTTCGCCTGCCCTGCCGGAAGCTGGGTACGCAGTTTGTGGGGCCATTTAAAGTCCTGAGGAGACTGAACGAGGTTTGTTATAGGTTACAGCTCCCCCCGATTACCGTATTAACCCCTTGTTCCATGTGTCTCTCCTCAGGCCGGTGGTGGCTGGTCCGCTCCAGCAGTCTGAGGTATGGGAGGTTCCTCCGCCCCCGCTGGACATCGAGGGGGCCCCGGCGTATACTGTGCGAGCCATCATGGATTCTAGGCATCGGGCGAGGGGCCTTCAGTACCTCGTGGAGTGGTAGGGGTACGGTCCGGAGGAGAGATGCTGGGTGCCGGTGGAGGACATCCTGGACCCTTCCTTACTACAGGAATTTCCCCGTCTCCACCCAGATCGTCCTGCGCCTCGTCCTCCGGGTCGTCCCCGAGGTCGGTGTCGGTGCTCTGCTGGAGCCGCGCGTCAAGGGGGGGTACTGTCACGACTTCCGCCGAAGTTGGTGCCTCTCCTTGTGCGGGCGGCTATCGGCGGTCGTCGTCACCGGCTTTCTAGCTGCCACCGATCTACGTTTCTGTTTTCCATTTGTTGTGTCTGTATTGTACACACCTGTTTCCCATCATGTTAATTTGTTTCCCTATTTAACCCTCTGGTTCCCTCATGGTGTTGTGCGTGATTGCTATTTGTTTGGTGTTTATACTGCTGTGAGCTGATGTATTTCCCTGCGTGGAAATTAGATTTGTTGTTTTTCGAGTAAAGTTTGTCTATTACTCAGTTCTGTGTCCTGCGCCTGACTCCGTCCTACTGCTGCACACTGACACCTGACACCAGGGGTTGGAACCAAAATTATTTTCCAATCGTTTTGTTCTGAACAGAACCATTATTATTTTTTGTGACGTTCCACTGTTCCGAGCAGCAAAATAAAGTTCTGAACCAGTTAGAACCCCCAAAAAGTACTAGTTTATATCGTTCCTTATTGTTTCTTTTTAAACCTCTGAAATATACTTTTTTTTTTTACATTTAGCATTAAACATTAAATTATTTCACTAATCAGTGAGGATAGAGGAGTTTGCTGTGGAGTGGGTAAGTGATTTAATCTGTATAGGAAAGTCGTTAAGAGCTAATTGTATTTTGCCGTAACAGCATGGTTTAATCATAATGAAAGACAAGCACACACACTGTGCTGCCAGTCACAGTGTAGGGTGTGAGATGCAACAGAAATGTTAAGGGTGAGGAGAGAGGGTGGAGGAAGCTTGCCTTGAAGCACTTTGTTGCGATTTTTGTGGGACTGGAAAGAATTGCCAGTAATGTAAAATAATGTTATTAACCGGTTCCCAAGCTTTTAAAATAACGGTTCTGTTCCCAGAACAGTATAGATCACTTTCGTTTTCGGTGCTGGTTCTGTTCCTCAAGTAATTCTTATTTTCCGGTTTTCTGTTCTGTTCTCTGAACCGGTTCCAACCCTTGTTAAAAATTGTAATATTGTTTGTCTATTTCTTTCATTCTCAGCCCTGAGAGATCTGTCACCGTGTTCTCCAATGGAACCTTACGGATCCTGCAGCTGACTGAAAAGGATGGAGGTAGCTACCTGTGTTTGTTCCAGAGGCCCAACGGTGAGGACATGGAGTTGTTCCAGGTGGAGGTGCTCATGATGCCACCTAAGATCGAACATCTGGCCACAGCTCAGAAGAGGGTGACCTCCGGGGAGAACTTCCAGGTGGACTGTGTTGCCTCAGGCCTCCCTGACCCAGAGGTGTCCTGGAGCCTCCCTGATGGAACCATGATCAACAACGCCCTACAGTCGGACGACAGCGGCACCCGTTCTCGCCGCTATGTCATCTTCGGGAATGGAACACTGTTGCTGCAGCAGATGGGAAAGAAGGATGAGGGGGACTATACATGCCATGCTAAGAATGAACTGGGTGAGGATGAGATGAAGGTGAGTGTCAAAGTAGGCCCTGACTCCCCCCGAATCACATCCAAGGCTCAGCTGTTGCTCACGGTCCAACTAGGAGAGTCTGCTTATATGACGTGTCAGGCGACTGGGGAGCCTCCACCGACTATTGTGTGGCTCTCTCCAAGCAATGACGTCATCACATCCTCTTCAACCAAATACCAAATCTTAGATGATGGGACTTTGGTGATAAAGAAGGTGACTTTGGCCGACCAAGGGAAGTATGCTTGTGTGGCAAGGAGTTCTGCTGGGGATGACATCAAAAACATGAAGATACAAGTAGAACCAAGAGAGCCACACATCAATGAACAAGGTGGAAGAAGCAGTATGAAAGTGTTGGCAGTATCTTATCAGACAACACTGCTCGACTGCAGAGCGGAGGGCAAGCCTGAACCACGCGTCTCTTGGGCCACACCCTATGGCCTCTCTCTGCCAACACCTTACCTGGGAGGACGCTTCCAAGTCCACAAGAACGGGAGTCTAGAGCTACGTGGAGTGAGGAAGACAGACGAGGGTCAGTATGTGTGTCTGGCCAAAAATTACTTGGGAGAAGCAAGCCTGGCAATTGAGCTAGAAGTGTCATCCATAGCAGAGAAGCCAAGCTTCGCCATGCCAAACATCGAGATTTTACCAATAAAGCAAGATGGAAGTGATGTCACTCTGGAGTGTCCTGCCCGCGGTAAGCCAAACCCAGAGTTTGTTTGGATCCTGCCAAATGGCACAGCGCTGACGCCAGGCACTAGACTTCAACGCTTCACTCACTATAGAGGAAACGGGACGTTGCGCATCACCCAGCTAGTGACAGCTGACAAAGGGGTTTACCGTTGTCTGGCGAAAAACGTGGCTGGGACAGCAGAGAAGCGATACGCTCTAGAACCAGGAAGAAAGCCTGTGATTCGAGGCACAACAGGGGGCATGAAGATCACGTTTGGCCAAATTCTGAACCTGCCGTGCTCTGTGGATGGCTGGCCACAGGCCTCAATCACATGGTCCTTACCAAACGGCCTGGTCCTGGACAAGCCCCAGGTTATTGGGAGAATTACATTTTTATCAAACGGCACGCTTCAACTCAGAGAGGTCGCCACATTTGACAGGGGAACCTACGTCTGCAAGGCCACCAACACATTTGGGTCATCTGCGTTGTCATACCCAGTTGCAGTTATGGTGTATCCTCCAAGTATCACAAATGCACCACCTTCCATCACTCGAGTCCACAGAGGCTCACCAGTAACACTTAACTGCATCGCTGCAGGCATACCAAAGCCTGAAATAACATGGACTCTACCTGGAAGAACCACACTTGTTCCCAACAACCGTTTCACGGCACAGGGAGGAATTCACATGACAGTTGAGGGCAGCTTGGTCATACAAGTCCCAGTGCTTATGAACTCAGGGATTTACAAATGCAATGCAAAAAATGCTCTAGGAAGTGACTTCAAAGCAACATATCTTCAGGTGATCTGAGCCACAACCAAACAGAACTGCCTAATCTAATCTGACAATTACACTTGAATGTGAAACCTAATCCTCTAGAATACCATATGTACAGTGTAATTATGTAACCTTACCATTAATGTGCATATTATAAGAGGTAAAAGATTGTGAACTTTAATATCACTAACGAGGAAAGGATAAAAAGGTCTGCTTTAATTGTTGGCAGAAATATAAGCATATAAAAACTGAACTGATGTGCCTTAGGGAATGCTTTATTTTCTTTGTATTTATAAATATTCCTGTATGTAAATATTTAAGTATACTGTGTTGACTGAACTCACATTGTTGGTTTATCTATATGCCTTTTTTACTTGCAGGTGCCTAGTGTTACTTCTGACAATACAAAAAAATAAAATGGAATCACTTACACAGGAATCAATCTGTCTGTACGCCCTCTCTGATTGTAAGCAGTGCGAATCCCATTCTGAGGCATGCTTTCAGATTAAATGCAAATCATTTGGAACAAATGAGCCTTTCATAGAGAGCGTAAAAGGAAGCTTTGTGTGATACAAATGTTCTAATTGTTCTACAGAGCTAATCAAAATGGAGACCCAGCAACTAATTCAACCAGCTATGAATTTGTTTAATACATTGTTAATACATATTCGGGAAATGTTACTTAATGACTAGACCTAAATATTTAATTATAATAGGCCTAGGATATCCAGTGCAATGTGGAAAACATGTATCACTGGTGCACTGACTTACTTGAAACCTCTCAGTACTGATTTTCAGTCTCAGTCTGCATTATACATCAGACACTTGTCTTATCTGGACCATAGGTTAGAGGCCAATGCATTTGCGCCATTTTGGATGATGGCATCTGATCAGCTGAATGGATCACATGAATGTTCAAGTATGAAATCAAACCTGTGTGAAAGACATTTGTAGTTTACATTTGAAGGCATGTAAAAATGTCTATGGCAGAAAAATAAACCATATTGACAGATTTGTGTTGACAATCTAAAGATTGTTACATATTAGCCTACTGTAGCCTTATTCATTTCCTCTTTGATATGGGCTATAAATCACATTAAACATTACCGTTGTGTTTACTGACTAGAAACTATGTTATATGCATACATGCAGCATTTGGAAATAGGGGAACATTTAAATAATTTTATTTTCCCTTCTTCCATGAAGCTGCTTGTGAGGGAGTGGGTTGCTGTTGTTGCCGTGCCTGGCTGCCTCACCTTCCCCCATCCGCGACACCAGTGCACAACTGTGTACATCATCTTCGCGTAATGGCAAATGAATCTTTTGAAAATGAGGGAGGTGCCGGTTCGAGAAACTCAAGAAATGCACATTTCACATCATCTGTGGATCTCAGCACGTCCTTAGATTCAAGTGTTCAGACTCGAATATTTAAAATAATTGTAATCGGGGATTCAAATGTAGGGAAGACCTGCTTAACCTTCCGCTTCACTGGGGGAAGCTTTCCCGAGAAGACGGAGGCGACAATCGGTGTGGATTTCAGGGAGAAAGCAGTGGAAATAGAGGGCGAAAAAATAAAGGTAATAGCCTAATTAAGCATCTGGTCGGGACAGGGCCGTTTTTATTTGTTTCTATGGGTCAATTGACCATTTATGTGTTCGGCTTTAACCGTTATAAATCAATGCATGACATGTCAATAAACCGAGTATATAATTATTTCTCTCCAGAGTACATACGCAATAAAAATGTTCAATTTATATTTAGATGGGCTGTTAGGTTGAATGTTTCTTTTAATGAATAGATCCATCAGCAATGTTGGCATGGTTTTGAAGTTACGGAATTTACCGTTTAGTTTCACATCACCGTCATATCCTCAGTTCACCAACTGTTTTCTCTGCATCTACAACTAAGGCCTACTAACTATACTGAACAAAAATATAAACGCAACATGCAACAATTTCAGATATTTTACTGAGTTACAGTTCATGAGGAAATCAGTCAATTGAAATAAATTCATTAGCCCCTAATCTATGGACTTCACATGACTGGGAACACAGATATCTTAAAAAATAAATGGGCCTCACAATAGGCAGCAGGATCTATTTTGTGCATTCCAATTGCCATGATAAAATGCTATTGTGTTCGTTGTCTGTAGTTTATGCCTGCCCATACCATAACCCCACCGCCACCATGTTCACAACGTTGACATCAGCAAACTGCTCGCCCACATTGTGTGAGGCCTGTTGGACATACTGCCAAATTTTCTACAACTATGTTAGAGGTGGCTTATGGTAGAGAAATGACATTCAATTCTCTGGCAACAGCTCTGGTGGACATTCCTGCAGTCAGCATGCCAATTGCACACTCCCTCAAAACTTGAGACATCTGTGGCATTGTGTTGTGTGACAAAACGGCACATTTTAGAGTGACCTTATATTGTCCCCAGCACAAGGTGCATCTGTGTAATGATAATGCTGTTTAATTAGCTTATTGATATGCCACACCTGTCAGGTGGATGGATTATCTTGGCAAAGGATATATGCTCACTAACAGGGATGTAAACCAATTTGTGCACAACATTTGAGAGAAATATGCTTTTTGGTGCGTATGGAAAATGTCTGGGATCTTTTATTTCAGCTCATGAAACATGGGACCAACACTTTACATGTTGTGTTTATATTTGTGTTCAGTGTAGTACAACCTCTGAATGCCCCCGCCCCAAACAACCTAGTCCCAGTGTTTCTAGCAACAGACAGTGACATAGATAGATATTGTGATGTTTTTACAATATTTCTCTTCATCATGTCTTCTCATTGAGATTCACCCACAAAATAAAAACCTTTCCTCAGTATGAAAACATAAGCAATAGAGCATCTTTGTTCAAGTATCAGTTATTCTATTTATTTTATTCAGAAATGGAAGACATGCACCAATACAGTCTTCAAAACATAGTGCCGTCCCATGGGCCACAAACTGGTTGAATCAGCGTTGTTTCAACGTAATTTGTCAACATATTGTGACATGGAATCTATGTTTAAAATACAATGGATTTTCTAAAAGTCATCAACATGTCATCGACGTAAACTGTTGTTTTGAAGGTGAAATTTCAACCCCAGGATTATGTCATGATGGGAATCAATTTGTACCTTTGAAACAACGTCAGCTCTTCAACGTTATATCAACTATGAGAAAAAAATATATAGGCTGGGCAGCACCTCCTACTGGAGAATTTATCAATATCTATCCTTTGGTCTCCCATCCAGAGTTTTAACCAAGCCCAGCCATGCTTAGCTTTCATATTCGTCACAGACTAATACCAATGTGCTATCGTGAGAATAATTATTGAGCCTCCTCCACTGAAAAATTTAGACTAATAGATTCACTGTTGCTATCGAAGTCATTTCAAAGAGTAGGTTTAACAGTAACCATACTTGATGAATCAATATCATCAATGATACTATTTAGGCCTGTATAGCATTTGCAAAGTCATCAACAGCTATTGTTTCAATTCAACCCAGAATTCAACTAAAAATAGACAATACAATAGGTCTAGGGTTTCAAGTTCTGGTTGATTTCAAATGTAATCTACAAATTAATAATTAATATGTTTAATCCACATCTCCATCTCAACCAAAAATTGAAGTTAAAGAATAGAACTAAATCAAATCACACTTTATTTAAAGTGCATTTAAAGTTTGATTTGATTTAGTCGTATTCTTTAATTGAGATTTTTGGTTGAGATGGAGATGTGAATCCAACATATCAATTATTAATTTGTAGACAAACTGGAATTGAGCCAGACTAAGTCAGTGGCTCAGATGGAACTATCCAAGCAGTAGATCCATCTCCATCAAATGTTGATATTTGGTTGCATTGACAACAAAACACAATTCAATATCACTTTTGCAATAGAGTAAATATTTATGTTTTTAGAAAAATGTCAACAATTAGAGTTCACTGAATTGCTCTGTATTTTTTTATGTATAAACAAGTTTATTAGTCAACATATATTTTCATATTTGGGCTTTTAATATAACGTTTATGAATATATATTTACAACTTTCAGATTGAGAGTATCAGAACAACACTCTGGAGGGCAGCATTTATCTCGAGCAGACATTCACAGCTAAGCTACAACAACATTTATCTCGAGCAGACATTCACAGCTAAGCTACAACAACATTTATCTCGAGCAGACATTCACAGCTAAGCTACAACAACATTTATCTCAAGCAGACATTCACAGCTAAGCTACAACAACATTTATCTCGAGCAGACATTCACAGCTAAGCTACAACAACATTTATCTCGAGCAGACATTCACAGCTAAGCTACAACAACATTTATCTCGAGCAGACATTCACAGCTAAGCTACAACAACATTTATCTCGAGCAGACATTCACAGCTAAGCTACAACAACATTTATCTCGAGCAGACATTCACAGCTAAGCTACAACAACATTTATCTCGAGCAGACATTCACAGCTAAGCTACAACAACATTTATCTCGAGCAGACATTCACAGCTAAGCTACAACAACATTTATCTAGAGCAGACATTCACAGCTAAGCTACAACAACATTTATCTCGAGCAGACATTCACAGCTAAGCTACAACAACATTTATCTAGAGCAGACATTCACAGCTAAGCTACAACAACATTTATCTCGAGCAGACATTCACAGCTAAGCTACAACAACATTTCTCTCGAGCAGACATTCACAGCTAAGCTACAACAACATTTCTCTCGAGCAGACATTCACAGCTAAGCTACAACAACATTTCTCTCGAGCAGACATTCACAGCTAAGCTACAACAACATTTCTCTCGAGCAGACATTCACAGCTAAGCTACAACAACATTTCTCTCGAGCAGACATTCACAGCTAAGCTACAACAACATTTCTCTCGAGCAGACATTCACAGCTAAGCTACAACAACATTTATCTCGAGCAGACATTCACAGCTAAGCTACAACAACATTTATCTCGAGCAGACATTCACAGCTAAGCTACAACAACATTTCTCTCGAGCAGACATTCACAGCTAAGCTACAACAACATTTATCTCGAGCAGACATTCACAGCTAAGCTACAACAACATTTCTCTCGAGCAGACATTCACAGCTAAGCTACAACAACATTTCTCTCGAGCAGACATTCACAGCTAAGCTACAACAACATTTCTCTCGAGCAGACATTCACAGCTAAGCTACAACAAAATGTTGACTCATTCGGCCACTCACCAGACAACTACTAGAAAAGAGGATCTCTGTTTCACAATCATACCACAAACTGGAATTAAAGCCAGACTAAGTCAGTGGCACAGATGGAACTATCCAAGCAGTAGATACAGCTCCTTTAAATGTTGATATTTGGTTGTGTTGACAACAAAACACAATTCAATATCACTTTTGCAATAGAGTAAATGGCCTGTTAACTTGTCGATAAGTTAACAAATTATATGTTGGATTCACGGCTCCAACTCAACCAAAATAAAAGTTAAAGAAGAGGATTAAGCCAGTGGCTCAGATGGAACTATTCAAGCAGTAGATACATCTCCTTTAAATGTTGATATTTGGTTGCCTTGTCAACAAAACACAATTCAATATTAATTTTATTATACAGTAAATGGCCTAAAGAGTAACACATCCATGGCCACATTTTGAGGTTACTGTAACTATAATGTCCTCATATGTAATCATAGAAAGTGTGCATGTTCAAGATGGCATAAAGGTTGCAGGTCTGTGGAGATCTTCACAACTGCTATAATAAAGGATCTCAAACAGCATTGATCACTTGAAATAGGAATACAATGACAGATATTTTGTTTATTTATACAACAAGTTAATGTGTCATCACTGCCCTTCATCTTATAGCATAGCCAAATGACCTGGACTGCAGTTGAGATGACATTAAAAGTACGTACCCTATGCATAGTATAATGATTAATGCTCTTTTAGATCCTTTATTATAGACTTTGCTGTGCTTTTAAATGGTTGAATTGCAGTGATAAAACATCAGACTTTGTTGTTCCATTGTAATTTGGATGTGCTTTTAGATGGTTGAAAGCATAGTGATAACACATTGGGAATTCAACAAACTTTTTGGGTGAGTGAATGTAGGTTGTAATTTCATCTGTCAACATCTCAACCAAATATTACCCAATTGTCCACGTTGAAATGACGTGGTGTGCCCAGTGGGTTTGATCTTTAATGATAAAAGCATCAATGTGGAATTATTCTAATTGTCTGCCATTTTCACATGGAAATGGTTAATGTCCACAGGCCGCATATTGCAATGGTCCTCCAAACATATTGCAATGGTCCTCCAAACATAATGCAATGGTCCTCCAAATATAATGCAATGGTCCCCCAAACATAATGCAATGGTTCTCCAAACATATTGCAATGGTCCTCCAAACATATTTCAATGGTCCTCCAAACATAATGCAATGGTCCTCCAAACATATTGCAATGGTCCTCCAAACATATTGCAATGGTCCTCCAAATATAATGCAATGGTCCTCCAAACATAATGCAATGGTTCTCCAAACATAATGTAATGGTCCTCCAAACATATTACAATGGTCTTCCAAACATAATGTAATGGTCCTCCAAACATAATGTAATGGTCCTCCAAACATAATGCAATGGTCCTCCAAACATAATTACTAAACTAAGCCGTTGTTACAGCATTTTCCTAGGTACAGTGTCCAGTCTAGTATTTATTCTAATTATGTCTTAACCCTCGTAATCCCAGATAACACACATACGTCTGTCCAACGTAGGCATGATGTATACAGGATACATCAGGAAGATGATGTTTATACATTGTTTGCTCATTGGCAAGACGTCTTTCAGATATATTTAGAATGCCTTCATTCTACAGTTCTACATCTTTATATGTCGGCCAGGTGTCAACATTCTATTCTGATGTCTCGGCGACGTCTTCCCAATGTGCAAACACTCTCCAAACTACATATTCCCTACGCAATCCGATACGTCAGCCAAAGGTGTGCGTGTTTATTGTGATGCAGTATCTAGACATGTTGTACCCATTTCTCTCTGACCAATACCCACTATTCCTCTCTGACCACTGGATCTGTTATTAATCCTCAACAGGTTCAGGTGTGGGACACTGCAGGACAGGAGCGCTTCAGGAAGAGCATGGTAGAACACTACTACCGCAATGTGCACGCTGTCGTTTTGGTTTACGACGTCACCAAGATGGCCTCATTCCAGAACCTGAAGACGTGGATCCAGGAGTGCAACGGGCACCGCGTCTCACCCACTGTGCCTCGGGTACTGGTGGGTAACAAGTGTGACCTGGTTAGTCATATCCAAGTGCCCTCCAACACTGCCCTCAAGTTTGCAGATGCCCACAACATGCTGCTGTTTGAGACCTCGGCCAAGGACCCCAAGGAGAGCCAAAACGTGGACTCCATTTTCATGTGCCTGGCATGTCGGCTGAAAGCCCAGAAGTCCCTGCTGTACAGGGATGTTGAGAGGGAGGATGGAAGGGTTAGGCTTTCACAAGAGACAGATGTTAATAAGAGAAACTGCCCTTGTTGAGGCTCCTCCACTCTGCAATGATTCCTCCTCTCCTTTAATACTGCTGTCACTTGAATTGAACAATTTAACATAAACAACGTAAGACGAAGATACTGTTCTAATGTTAACATTTCTTGAAAGAATGTGCCTGCAGTTATTTCAAATTTTCTTCTTAAAAATTATAATACTGTTTTGCTGTCTGTCTGACTGTCTGTCTGACTGTCTGACTGACTGTGTCTGTCTGTCTGTCTGTCTGTCTGTCTGTCTGTCTGTCTTGTTTTACTCGTTATCACATTATTCTGTAATAATGGCCTTAAGGCAAGAGAGGTCATCCAGCGGTGTGTTTGTAAAATGTTTATTTATTTTGTATTTGAGTTGTACATGTCTGTACATGTCTGCTGTCAGTATTATCATGTCTGTACATGTCTGCTGTCAGTATTATCATGTCTGTACATGTCTGCTGTCAGTATTATCATGTCTGTACATGTCTGCTGTCAGTATTATTGTTTCATGCAATAAACTTGTGTGTAACATAATTGTCACAATCTCACAAAGGGACTTTCATAAAGACTATTCGGGCTTCACACTGACGTACTGTATATGCACAGCCATCATTGTACATTTGGTGAGTATATCGTTCACATTGAATTATCATAGCCATAATGCAGAGGATGGGGAGGCAACAATGCCAGTTAGCCCACCACCACGTAAAAGGAAATCACACCACAAACAATCACCCACATGCTCTTAAGGAAATTGTGAATGTCATGGATACATTAGAACTAGTAGATATATGGAGGCTTAAATATCCTGATCTAGTGAGATATACATGGCGGAGACTCAATCAAGCTAGTCGTCTTGACTTCTTTCTTATCTCATTCTCGTTGGCACCAAAAGTTTAAAAAGTGTTGATAGGGGACAGAATGCGGTCGGACCATCATATAATTGGCATATACATTACTCTTACTGAATTTCCACGTGGGCGAGGATATTGGAAATTTAATCAAAGCCTATTGGATGATAATTTATTTTTAACTAGGACAAAGGAATTTATAACTGACTTTTTCCGACATAACATAGGTACAGCAAATCCCCTTATTGTATGGGACACCTTTAAATGTGTCTTTAGAGGCCATGCAATTCAGTATTCATCTCGAAAACAAAAGCAATTTAGATCAAAAGAGTTTATACTAACAAAGGAAATAGAAAGTCTAACAGAACAGATAGATGGCAATAAAAACTGTAACATAGAGGCTCAGAATAAATTAGAGGAAAAAGAAAAAGAAATTGAGAAACTTATTCAAGAAAGATCAAGTGTAATATATTATAAAAAATAAAGCAAACTGGATGGAATATTGGGAAAAATGCACCAAATTATTTTTTAATCTTCAACATAGGAATGCTACCAAAAACAATTTAATGAAAATGGTTACAATTGACGGAGTAACCCATGATTCACCAAATGATATTTTGAAGGAGGAAACAAGGTACTTTAAGCATATGTTTTCGTTTCAGTCGCCTCCATCTCCTCTAACTCAAGCTAATTGTAGAGATTTTTTTTCTATTGATAATGTAAAATGAACAACCAAACAGAAAGACTCATGTGAAGGTGAAATTACAGAGGAGGAACTTCTGGATGCAATTAAAGACTTTAAGTCCGGGAAAACTCCAGGGTTGGATGGCATACCAGTCGTAGTATACCAAACCTTTTTTGATATACTAAGAGGACCGTTATTAGCATGTTTTAACCACTCCTATGTAAATGGTAGATTATCTGACACTCAAGAAGGTCTGATCTCATTATTACTGAAACAGGATACAAGTGGAAAATATAAAGATCCAGTCCATTTAAAAAATTGGAGGCCCCTTACACTTCAGTGTTGTGATGCAAAAATTCTAGCAAAATGTATAGCGCATAGAATTAAAAAGGTATTGTCGGATATTATTCATTCTAATCAGGCAGGTTTTTTACATGGAAGATACATTGGAGATAATATAAGGCAAGTATTGGAAACAATAGAACATTATGGAAAATCGGAGAAACCAGGCCTGCTATTCATAGCAGACTTCGAAAAGGCATTTGATAAAGTACGACTGGGGTTTATATATAAATGCCTGGAGCATTTCAATGTTGGTGAATCTCTTATAAAATGGGTCAAAATCATGTATAGTAACCCTAGGTGTAAAATAGTAAATAATGGCTATTTCTCAGAAAGTTTAAAAAAAGGTATAATCTTTGTAAATGATATCATCGGTAGGACTGGTGGAGTTATGTCGCACATGCAGCTAACAAAAACATATGGAAATGTCTGCTCTACCCAAAATTACAACCAAATAATTGCAGCCTTACTGCAAAAATGGAAGAGGAAAGTGGAAGGAGGAGAAAGTAAGGAACTTGTCTGTCGCCCTTGCATTAAAGAACATAATTAGTTAAGGAAAACTGTGATAAATAAAAAAGTATATCAGTTTCATTTAAGGACCAAAGGATTGACAGCCGTCCCATATAGATTGCAAAATTGTTGGGAAGAGATTTTTGACGTACCGATCCCATGGCATAGTGTTTATGAACTGATACACAAAACCACACCGGATTCAAAACTTAGAATCTTTCAATTTAAATTATTATATAACATTCTTGCTACCAATATAATGTTATTTACAGTGGGGAAAAAAGTATTTAGTCAGCCACCAATTGTGCAAGTTCTCCCACTTAAAAAGATGAGAGAGGCCTGTAATTTTCATCATAGGTACACGTCAGCTATGACAGACAAATTGAGGAAAAAAAATCCAGAAAATCACATTGTAGGATTTTTTATGAATTTATTTGCAAATTATGGTGGAAAATAAGTATTTGGTCAATAACAAAAGTTTCTCAATACTTTGTTTTATACCCTTTGTTGGCAATGACACAGGTCAAACGTTTTCTGTAAGTCTTCACAAGGTTTTCACACACTGTTGCTGGTATTTTGGCCCATTCCTCCATGCAGATCTCCTCTAGAGCAGTGATGTTTTGGGGCTGTCGCTGGGCAACACGGACTTTCAACTCCCTCCAAAGATTTTCTCTGGGGTTGAGATCTGGAGACTGGCTAGGCCACTCCAGGACCTTGAAATGCTTCTTACGAAGCACTAAGCTAATGACCCTGGGACTAAACACCTCCCTCTGCAACTGGACTTCCTGACGGGCTGCCCCGAGGTGGTAAGGGTAGGTAACAGCACATCTGCCACGCTGATCCTCAACACGGGGGCCCCTCAGGGGTGCGTGCTCAGTCCCCTCCTGTACTCCCTGTTCACCCATGACTGCATGGCCAGGCACGACTCCAACACCATCATTAAGTTTGCCGACGACATAACAGTGGTAGGCCTGATCACCGACAACGATGAGAAAAAAAGAGGACTGAGCACGCCCCCATTCTCATCGATAGGGCTATAGTGGAACAGGTTGAGAGCTTTAAGTTCCTTGGTGTCCACATCACCAACAAACTATCATGGTCCAAACACGTGAAGAGGGCACGACAAAGCCCATTCCCCCTCAGGAGACTGAAAAGATTTGGCATGGGTCCTCAGATCCTCAAAAATGTATACAGCTGCATGGTACGTATGGTAACTGCTTGGCATCCGAGCCCAAGGCGCTACAGAGGGTAGTGCGTACGGCCTAGTACATCACTGGGGCCAAGCTTCCTGCCATCCAGGACCTCTATACCAGGCGGTGTCAGAGGAAGGCCCTAAAAATGAAAAAAAGACTCCAGCCAACCTAGTCATAGACTGTTCTCTCTGCTACCGCACGGCAAGCGGTACCGGAGCGCCAAGTTTAGGTCCAAAAGGCTTCTTAACAGCCCCTACCCCCAAGCCATAAGACTACTGAACAGCTAATCATGGACTATTTGCATTTTTTTCCTTAAAACTGCATTGCTAGTTAAGGGCTTCTAAGTAAGCATTTCACTGTAAGGTCTACACCTGTTGTATTCGGCGCATGTGGCAAATATCATTTGATTTGATTTGAGTATTCAGACCTATTTGCTATGAGAGTCGAAATTGAGCTCAGGTGCATCCTGTTTCCATTGATCATCCTTGATATGTTTCTACAACTTGATTGGAGTCCACCTGTGGTACATTCAATTGATTGGACATGATTTGGAAAGGCACACACCTGTCTATATAAGGTCCCACAGTTGACAGTGCATGTCAGAGCAAAAACCAAGCTATGAGGTCGAAGGAATTGTCTGTAGAGCTCGGAGACAGGTTTGTGTTGAGGCACAAATCTGGGGAAGGGTACCAAAAAATGTCTGCAGCGTTGAAGGTCCCCAGGAACACAGTGGCCTCCATCATTCTTAAATGGAAGAAGTTTGGAACCAGCAAGACTCTTCCTAGAGCTGGCTGCCAGGCCAAACTGAGCAATTAGGGAAGAAAGGCCTTGGTCAGGGAGGTGACCAAGAACCCGATGGTCACTCTGACAGAGCTCCAGAGTTTATCTGTGGAGATTGGAGAACCTTCCAGAAAGACAACCATCTCTGCAGCACTCTACCAATCAGGCCTAAATGGTAGTGGCCAGACGGAAGCCACTCCTCAGTAAAAGGCAGATGACAGCCCGCTTGGAGTTTGCCAAAAGGCACCTAAAGACTCTCAGACCATGAGAAACAAGATTCTCTGGTCTGGTGAAACCAAGATTGAATTCTTTGGCCTGAATGCCAAGTGTCACGTCTGGAGGAAACCTGGCACCATCCCTACGTTGAGGCATAGTTGTGGCAGCATCATGCTGTGGGGATGTTTTTCAGCAGCAGGGACTGGGAGACTAGTCAGGATCGAGGCAAAGATTAACAGAGAAAAGTACAGAGAGATCCTTGATGAAAACCTGCTCTCAGGACCTCAGACTGGGCGAAGGTTTACCTTCCAACAGGACAACAACCCTAAGCACACAGCCAAGACAACGCAGGAGTGGCTTTGGGACAAGTCTCTGAATGTCCTTGAGTGGCCCAGCCAGAGCCAGGACTTGAACCTGATCGAACATCTCTGGAGAGACCTGAAAATAGCTGTGCAGCAACACTCCCCATCCAATCTGACAGAGCTTGAGAGGATCTGCAGAGAAGAGTGGGAGAAACTCCCCAAATACAGGTGTGCCAAGCTTGTAGCGTCATACATAAGAAGACTCAAGGCTGTAATCGCTGCCAAAGGTGCTTCAACAAAGTACTGAGTAAAGGGTCTAAATACTTATGTAAATGTTATATTTCAATTTTTTTAGCAAACAAATATAAAAACCTGTTTTTGCTTTGTCATTATTGCGTATTGTGTGCAGATTGATGAGGAAAAAATACAATTGAATCTATTTTAGAATTAATACCTTTCGAAAGTATCTCCCCAACATCATCAATGATGATAGCTGCATACAGAGTTACAGTGCCTTCAGAAAGTATTCACACCCCTTGACTGTTTCCACCTTCTGTTGTGTTACAGACTGAATTTAAAATGAATTAAATTCCGATTATTATGTTTTTGTCAATGGCCTAGACACAATACCCCATAATGACAAAGTAAACATTTTACAAATTAATTAAAAATGAAAAGCTTAAATGTGTTGAGTCAATAAGTATTCAACCCCTTTGTTATGCCAAGCATAAATAGGTTCAGGAGTAAAAATGTGCTTAACAAGTCACATAATAAGTTGCATGGACTCACTCTTTGTGTAATACTAGTGTTTAACATGATTTTTGAATGACTACCTCATCTCTGTACCCCACACATACAATTATCTGTAAGGTCCCTCAGTCGAGCAGTGAATTTCAAATACAGATTCAACCACAAAGACAAGGGAGGTTTTCCAATGCCTCGCAAATCCCTTTGAGCATGGTGAAGTTATTAATTACACTTTGGATGGTATATCAATACACCCAGTCACTACAAAGATACAGATGTCCTTCTTAACTCAGTTGGCGGAGAGGAAGGAAACCACTCAGGGATTAATGTCTGGGATTGCAAAATACTGAGGATGGATCAACAACATTGTAGTTACTCCACAGTACTAACCTAATTGACAGAGTGAAAAGAAGGAAGCCTGTACAGAAAATGCATCCTGTTTGCAACAAGGCACTAAAATAATAATGCATTTTTTTTTGGCAAAGCAATTAACTTTTTGTCCTGAATATAGCGTGTTATGTTTGGGGCAAATCCAATACAACACATTACTGAGTACCTTTTCAAGCATAGTGGTGGCTGCATCATATTATGGGTATGCTTGTAATAGTTAAGGACTGGGGAGTTTTTCAGGATAAAAAAGAAACCGAATGGAGCTAAGCACAGGCAAAATCCTAGAGGAAAACCTGGTTCAGTCTGCTTTCCACCAGACAGTGGGAGATGAATTCACCTTTCAGAAGGACAATAACCTACAACACAAGGCCAAATCTACACTTTAGTTGCTTACCAAGAAGACAGTAAATGTGGCAGAGTTACAGTTTTGACTTAAATCTGCTTGAAAATCTATGGCAAGACTTGAAACTTGTTGTCCAGAAATGATCAACAACCAATTTGACAGAGCTTGAAGAATTTTGAAAAGAATAATGGGCAAATATTGTACAATCCAGGTGTACAAAACTTCAGGTGTAAAGATCCAGGTGTAAAGACTTACCCAGAAAGACTCACAGCTGTAATCGCTGGCAAAAGTGATTCTAACATCAGGGGTGTGAATACTTGTGTAAATACACTGCTTTGCTTTATCTTGGCCAGGTCACAGTTGTAAATGAGAACTTGTTCTCAACTGGTTTACCTGGTTAAATAAAGGTTAAATAAAATAAAATAAACATTTCTAAAAACATGTTTTCACTTTGTCATTATGGGGTATAGTGTGTAGATGGTTGAGGGGGAAAAAACTATTTAATCCATGTTGAATTCAGGCTGTAACACAACAAAATGTGGAATAAGTCAAGGGGTATGAATACTTTCTGAAGGCACTGTACAATGTGTCCATACAATCAGATACAGTATAATGTATTCATACAAAAGATTGCTGCATCCACTCCGGCAGGGGGCAGCATATCAGAGATGTAGTGCACAGATTACAGGAAGAGGAGGAAACTGCTGTTAATACTGAGCTAGCCAGTTTGTAGCGCTGCCAGTGGAAACCGTGGAAGAAAATAGTCAGGTGTAGGTTGCCAGTCTATAGACTTGGCCCACAATCGTAACTCTGTGAAGCGGGGCGTTAGTCCCTTAAACCCCGTTTGAGATGGCAGAATATAGCCAAACGGGTATCTTGACGGCGCTTCTGCTGTTCACTGTTGTCACTGTAAAAGACGTTTACGTCGGGAGGTCCATGATGACTCAACACCCAGCGCAGGCCTCTGACAGCCTGAATATGGGGGCTGACCGTTTGCGGGATGCCGACCCACAGAGGCTCAGCAAGCAGACCCTCTACACTGGGCCAGTGCTGAAATTCCAGTTTTGGTAAGATTATCGATTTTTCTCTACAGTTGTTGTGTAGCTATTTGTCTAGCTAACTAAAAGATAGCAGGCGGTTAGCTAGTCAACGCTAACTAGCCTATGCTAACTAGCCATTTGATAGTTTGGGGACAATGTTTGATGCTAGCTAGCTAATCCTCTTAGCTATATACAGCCTTTTTTGGCTTCTAATATAGAATGATAGAATGAAAGAACAGGCATATTACCTGAAGTAGCTAACTATATGCAGACTGGTAGTCTGGAATTTGGTAGGAATTTGGTGGCACAGTAGTCAGCTATAAGGTCACAGGTACCTAATTTATATCAAATACACTCATTTCTAACCAGTCTCTTTGTTTCTGTGTTACAGCATCTCCTGAGGGTATAGCAAGGTGTTCCAGGAGTACTCCCGGTCCATCAGCCAGTTGTACCCGGATATCCGCATAGAAGGAGAAAATTACCCTCCCACAACCATCAACAAGTAAGATGGCACACCATTGTCATGTAGCCAGTAGACACATTTATTTCGTCAGTGAATTTGGTGTTCTGATCACCACTGTTTTTGCCCTCCACCAGATATCTCGGAAATATATTTTCCTACTTCAAACTTCTTGCCATTGCCCTAGTTGTCAGTGGACAAAATCCCTTCCCTATGCTTGGACTGGAGACTCCCAGAGCATGGACGTGGACTCAAGAAAATAAGGTGAGGGGTTTTACGGTTTCAACTTCAATAGATTTTGAATAAACACACTTGATCCCTTCTGAACATGTTTGTCTTCCAGATATTTTCGTGCCTGATGACATTCTTCCTCAGTAACATGTTGGAGACCCACTTCTTGTCCACCGGTGCATTTGAAATCACACTAAATGGTGAGTTGAATGGGGTCACTGAAAACACAGTCTTCACTTTACACCCTTGCATGGATATACACAACAAATTCAGTTAAATGATATGTAAATGTGAATTCCACATTTTGCGTATTTGAATAAGCCTTTGTCTCCTGTCATTTCTCTACACTCCCTTTTAGATGTACCAATCTGGTCCAAGCTGCAGTCAGGATACGTACCCAACATCCAGGAGATCTTCCAAATCCTTGATAATCACATTAAGATGAATCAAGTTGACAAGATCTCCTTCCCATCTCCGTAGTGCTGACGTTTAAGAAGATTAGTAGGTAATGAAACGCATCTGCCATCCACAGACTGAAGCATGTCAATGTATCTTATTGTTGTGTGTGGTATCTTAGACATGGACTCTGGGGCAAGTGTTAGTTAACAGCCTGCTCTGTTTCTCTACATCCCAGGTCTCTGGAGCAGTTGATCAGGTCAGTGGGACTGCATTGTGGTGTAATGAAGGCTTGGTCTGCAAACGGCTTGCTGTGAGGCCAGGCTGGATGTCCCTGCCACTGATCACACTTCCTCTGCCCTGGGAAACGCTCCCGTGTCCTCGATCTAAACAAAAAATAAGCACGCCACTAGCTGGCTTGGATGAGAAGATCCTGTCATATACTAGATAGATGTTTTATGAGAGAATAGTCCTATAAGTGGTTTAGTTAAAGAAGGCTAATGGTTTGCACTGCTGTCGTACCAAGTGCTTTTGTAATGGGGTGGTTGTTTTTTCAGTTAGCCGTTCTGTGTCAAGTCTCCCTTGACTGTCTGAACCTTTACATTGGGGATGGCTTGTTCTGTCCTGCTTGAGTTGACAAAATCAGTTCTGTTTGAGCTGAAGGTTTGAAATGCTTAATCTTTGAATGTGATTTTTCTTTCTTTACAACTATATTTCAGGTGTTATCCATGATTTGAAATTGTTTGTTTTTTTGGGGAAAAAATTAATCTGAGATTTAAAAAGGAGGGCTAATTGCTCACTGTTACTTTTAATGGTAATTCTGTCTGATGGATCTTCTAGTGGAGATGCTTGATGTGTTTTCTGAGGACAATGAATTGTCCAACCAGCTTGCTGATAATGTAAAAGTAGCACAGAAGAAAGTTAAGCTGTACGTGCCCAGCTTCCTAACAATTCAAAGTAGTGGATATTGTGCAACACAACAGCTATATTGTATCTTCATGAACTTGTGAAAGGAATGGCTAAAGAAAGCACTGCTAGCTCAATGAAATGGTGTTATGTAAAGATCCCTCTCACTCAATTTGACTTTGTCAACCACTCCTAAGTCGTGTGAAAAAGCACCCTTTGTTCTTGTATCTGTGTATGAAATCAGATGGTGTGGCTAAAACTCAAGGATTAAAGCTGAATAAAATGTCTTGTCTTAAAGTAATAAACATTCTGAGAGGTTTCACTCATGTCAGTGCGCTGTTGCCTTGTGTTGTTTTAGAATGAAAAACAGACTCAATATAAAATATGATTATTCAATACAAACGATTGAAGGTCTTCCACATGTTGAAACATTTTGTATGACATTTTGATACTTTTGCTATTACACATCTAAAAGGCACAAAAAAAAACAGAGGTACCTCATTGTGAATGTCCAGTTAATTTATAAGCTAGTAAACTACCTTGAAAACAGTTGGATTGATAGAATAACAAGGGCCAGGGTTGAGTCAGTTGCCGTTCCAGGAGCAGAATGGGGTGACGTGAAACACGTAGCAGTGGGTGCATACCCTCACAGCCTTGACCTGACCGTACCGGGGTAGAGGCGCCGAGCGGGCAGAGCAGCGAGAACAGAAGATCTGAGACGACATACATTTCAAAATTATTCACACACATTCACAGGTCTGTGTTCATTAGTAAGTGTGTGGCTATGTTTGCATGGCTGGAAGTGAGACAGTAGAGTGGTGATTATATGGTACCCTTGTCTGGGTATTAACAGGTACCTTGCCACAGCTCCTGCAGTGGTGCTTCTTGCGTATTACAGTGAAGGGGGCGTTACATGCTGTGCAGACGCTACAGGCCTCATCGGGAACCCAGGCTGGGAGCTCTGCAGAGAGAACATTACATTTTAGTCATTTAGCAGACGCTCTTATCCAGAGCGACTTAGTGAGTGCATACATTTTTCATACTGGCACCCCGTGGGAATCGAACCCACAACCATGGCGTTGCAAGCGCCATGCTCTACCAATTGAGCTACAGGAGGCCTGTGACTGAGGTTATTGGTGAATGGTTAGAAAATGATAATAGGGGACAGTTAAAAAGACAAGACTAAAAGAAGACATCACCTTCACATTGGACATCTTGCTCAATCAGTGGGGAGGAGGACAGCCACTCCATACACAAGGCACAGTCCTCCAGGGCCATGTTACTCAGGCCTAAGGATGCTGGTGAGACATGGGACAGGACACAGACCATATTGAACTGGGAGTCGAGAGATTTTGGATGCGTCTACGTCACAGAAAGCTGCTAAGGGGAGGACAGCTCATAATAATGTCTGGAACGGAGAGGGATGGAATGGCATCAAACACATGGAAACTATCTGTTGGATGTATTTGATACCATTACACCTATTCTGCTCCAGCCATTACCACGAGCACGTCCTCCACAGTTAATGTTCCACCAACAACCTGTGGTCTACGGACACTGCAAATAATAAGATGATTAAGGTAAAATATCTTGAAAAATATCTTTAAATAAGCAGAATTATCTGCCAATGATGTTAGATAATTTAGCTTGGTAAGAAAAAAACATTTTCAGTGAATTATCACTCAATATAAGATATTTAAGCTTGCTTAATTTGAACTTTTTGCAGTGTGGAATCGCTCATGTCATGGTTAAATCACATGATATGCCCAAGCACTGTAGTACCTTTCCTTTGCTTGTCTTCTTCTGCAAGAACTGTCTTAGTCGTCATTATCTGGAACAGTGTCTTCAATATGGTTCTTAGGTCACTGGAGTAGTTGCTTTGTAGCTGGTCTGCAACACCTGGTTAGAGTTGATATATTATCAGAGACTAAGATCACTTGTCTCCTCAGTCTTATGATGTAAGAGCTATGTCAAACAGAGGGATATGCATATCCAGTCACTGTATGACATAACAATACAGGGGTGGACTGGCCATCTGGCATTTCGGGCAATTGCCAGATGGGCTGGTCCATTTTTAGTAGTGCTGAGCAATTAACCGAAATTTCGGTTCAATTATTTGAATTCCATTTCGTTCTGTTTTTTTCTGTAGGCCCAATGTGCAGTTTCTCTAGAGATAAATCTGATCAAACCCAAACTGTGTGATGTAGTATGGAGCTGTTAGACCGCATAGGCAGCAGCTCTATAAAGATGAGATGATGACTTGGAATTAAATAATGAAGTCATCAAATAAAAAAATGTAATATACACAATAACTGAAATATTTTATTAAAGTAATGTGAATAAATGATGGTTCCTAAGTAGTAATGGGAAGTCACTACCGTCATGGGACTTTTATTAATTGTTTTATTAAGTGTTGTTACAACATTCAACCCACATAATGCATAGTGCATTTATTATTTAAAGAAATAATAAAAAAAGGAAATTGAACACAGTGATCATTTTTAAAAAATAATGTATTGAACCGAAACCGAACCGACCTCAAAAAGCACTAATAGCTCAGCACTAATGTTTCGTCTAGTGTGCCTTCTAACTTGGTTTTTTTGTGCAAAATGAACATTTTCTGGCTAATAATTGGGATCTAAAGGGAAAATATTGGCACATTTTTGGTCCCAGTCCGCCCCTGTAACAATATCTGACAAAGTGAAAGACAATGAGGATCTACTGTACCTGAAATGCACACAAACAGACGGTGAAGAAGGTCACCGCTGCTATTGAAACGGGATCGGATATTGTGGCAGGCCAACTGGATGTCAGGATGCTCCATCCCCTCCATGTTATTACTGCTTGGTTGATAGCTGACAGAACTAAGGGACATAGGGACCATTAGGTTCTGCTCAGTCATTGAAAACTAGGCTAACAATTTTATCATCATGTATTATAAAAAATAAAGTCATTTATAAAGTGCCACTAGAGGAAGTAGTGAAATTAACTGGTTTATAGAAGTGTAAAAGTAGTATAATTTATCAACTTTTGGGAGACGTCTTTCAAACTAGAGCAAGTATGAGGCTAGCACATACCTGAATTGGGACAGGGTGTATTCCTCTGGCTCTGCCTCTACCACTCGCTGTTCAGCCTTCCCATCTCCATTGGTTCTACAGTGGGTCAGGCTGGGGTAGGCAACAGATGCTGGAACACCCTCTCTCTGTTGACCCCTGGCCCGTAATGAAGGGAACCATGGGCCCAGCACATGGCTCCTCTCCTTCCCCTGTTCCCTGGGGCCCACAGCCTTCTCAGCTGGGCCTCTAACAGCAGAGAAGGGGGAACAGAATGGCAAACCTGTATCCTGAGCTGGACCTTGGGTTTGGGGAGTCAGGCAGCCGTAGGTGTCATGGTCTGGTGGGAATAGAAGCAGACTGGGGCACTGAAGGCAGATACAGGGGCTGAGCTGGCAGTATGTGGCCGCGCCATTCAGAGACTGCAGCTGTGCATCCACTTCGCCATCATCATCGTTTTCCTCTTTCACCTTCTCCTCTACCTTCTCGGTCCAGGTAGACAGGTTGGGAGATGGGGGATTGGAGATCCCATTTGCAGAGAGTTTCGTCCCCTTCATCCTCAGTGCAATCAGCTCTGCCGTCTTTGAAACATCCTGGCTCACATTCTGGCTCAACCCCTCCCCATTCAGGCAGATGGAGGGGACAGAGAGAGCCCCAAGGTCTGGGGTCGAGAGCCTGCTACTGCTGGGCCAGTTCTTGCTGCGCTGGAGGGCTGCCTCCACACACTTCCTGGACAAGCTGGTCCGCGGTGAAGAAGGGCAAGACATGTTCCGCCTCATATTCAGATGTGGGGAGTTAGGAAGGGAATAGCCTTGCTTCTGTGTCCCGTCCAAGTCATCCATGTAGAAGACACGCTCCTCTTCCTCTACACTTGACCCACCAGCGGACCAACCACAAGACGACACTCTGCTCCCAGCCCTGCGGCGCCTGAGAGGGGAGGCCATGGGGCTGGGGGTGAGGCTGGCAGCCCCCCTCCTCTGGGGGTAAGGAGATGAAGTCTGGCTAGGTGCTGGGGACAGAAAGCTGGACATCTCATCTCCCACCTGGTAGAACATCATACTGAGCAGCTCCATCTCCATGATGTCAGCCTGCATGGAGGACGACAGCTCAACCTCTGGGTCCCACTCTAAACGGCCAGGTTCAACTTGCAGGAGGGAAGGGTTATCCTCCTTGTCCTCCTCCATCACGACACATGCCTGAGGAGGAACACTTGACTGGAACTTTGCCCCCTGCTTTCCATGCATGGTATGCTCCAATTGCTGGGCCAGAGTGATGGCTGAATGTGGTATGGCTGAAGAACGGCGCCGGGCAACCAAACCATCTTCCTGAGTGACACAGAGGTTGCGTTCCAAAGAATGAACCTCTTCTTCATTGAGCGTGCGCAGGAGATTCCTGTTCATATACCAAAATGTTGATTGATTTTCACTCATGGAAATACAGTGGGGGAAAAAAGTATTTAGTCAGCCACCAATTGTGCAAGTTCTCCCACTTAAAAAGATGAGGCCTGTAATTTTCATCATAGGTACACGTCAACTATGACAGACAAATTGAGAAAAATAAATCCAGAAAATCACATTGTAGGATTTTTAATGAATTTATTTGCAAATTATGGTGGAAAATAAGTATTTGGTCAATAACAAAAGTTTCTCAATACTTTGTTATATACCCTTTGTTGGCAATGACATAGGTCAAACGTTCTGTAAGTCTTCACAAGGTTTTCACACACTGTTGCTGGTATTTTGGCCCATTCCTCCATGCATATCTCCTCTAGAGCAGTGATGTTTTGGGGCTGTCGCTGGGCAACACGGATTTTCAACTCCCTCCAAAGATTTTCTATGGGGTTGAGATCTGGAGAATGGCTAGGCCACTCCAGGACCTTGAAATGCTTCTTACGAAGCCACTCCTTCATTTCCCGGGCGGTGTGTTTGGGATCATTGTCATGCTGAAAGACCCAGCCACGTTTCATCTTCAATGCCCTTGCTGATGGAAGGAGGTTTTCACTCAAAATCTCATGATACATGGCCCCATTCATTCTTTCCTTTACACGGATCAGTCGTCCTGGTCCCTTTGCAGAAAAACAGCCCCAAAGCATGATGTTTCCACCCCCATGCTTCACAGTAGGTATGGTGTTCTTTGGATGCAACTCAGCATTCTTTGTCCTCCAAACACGACGAGTTGAGTTTTTACCAAAAAGTTATATTTTGGTTTCATCTGACCATATGACATTCTCCCAATCCTCTTCTGGATCATCCAAATGCACTCTAGCAAACTTCAGACGGGCCTGGACATGTACTGGCTTAAGCAGGGGGACACGTCTGGCACTGCAGGATTTGAGTCTATGGCGGCGCAGTGTGTTACTGATGGTAGACTTTGTTACTTTGGTGCCAGCTCTCTGCAGGTGATTCACTAGGTCCCCCCGTGTGGTTCTGGGATTTTTGCTCACCGTTCTTGTGATCATTTTGACCCCACGGGGTGAGATCTTGCGTGGAGCCCCAGATCAAGGTAGATTATCAGTGGTCTTGTATGTCTTCCATTTCCTAATAATTGCTCCCACAGTTGATTTCTTCAAACCAAGCTGCTTACCTATTGCAGATTCAGTCTTCCCAGCCTGGTGCAGGTCTACAATTTTGTTCCTGGTGTCCTTTGACAGCTCTTTGGTCTTGGCCATAGTGGAGTTTGGAGTGTGACTGTTTGAGGTTGTGGACAGGTGTCTTTTATACTGATAACAAGTTCAAACAGGTGCCATTAATACAGGTAACGAGTGGAGGACAGAGGAGCCTCTTAAAGAAGAAGTTACAGGTCTGTGAGAGCCAGAAATCTTGCTTGTTTGTAGGTGACCAAATACTTATTTTCCACCATAATTTGCAAATAAATTCATAAAAAATCCTACAATGTGATTTTCTGGATTTATTTTTCTCAATTTGTCTGTCATAGTTGACGTGTACCTATGATGAAAATTACAGGCCTCTCTCATCTTTTTAAGTGGGAGAACTTGCACAATTGGTGGCTGACTAAATATTTTTTTTCCCCACTGTACCTCATCAAGACTAATGTTATTGTTAAAACTAGGCTTTGAAATGGAAGTACTGTACCTGATTTTCTTCAGTAAAGAGTGGAAGGGCCTGAATAACTCAGACATGTCCTCCAACTCACCATCCAGCTTCATGGGGCCATCAGGAAACACCACTAGACCACTTGATAGACACGTGGCATTTGGTTTGAGAATTTGTAGTGATGTAGATGATTAAAATACTGTACAATAAAAATGACAATTGAAAAGGTATTTATTGGAGAGTTTTTCAGAACACTCACCACACTATAGCTAATCGTGGGATTGTAAACATGAGTGCAGGCTCATAGTCATCGATCAGGTCTTGAGTGATATATCCCCGTTTTAGTGCCCTATATGAATCCATGAGAGAAAAAGTGACTTAGTAACATTTATTAGTAGATTAATAAAACAATTATGTGATGGGAAGCATATATAGGTGAGAACTACATATCAATTCTCACCTGGACACTGTCTCACAGAACAGCACAGTGACATCCTGTTGGATGTCATACTGTTTAAAGGACTTGACTGGTACCATGGCTGAAACATAGCTTAGGTACAGAAAGAAAAATAGAGTGAGTGTGTTACGTTATGAAACCCACTTTTCCTGAGGGAGTGAAATATCATTTTCACAGTCTCACCTGAACTCGAAATCTGCAAACAGGTTGTCAAATTTTCTCAAGGCCTGGCACAGTAGCTCTGTATAGACATTCCGATTGCGAAGAGCCTGGTCACGGGCGATGCTCCGTACTTCGTCTATGCAGCGAGTCAGTTCCTTTGCTAGGGGACGCATTGCCTCGCTCTCAGACTCCTGGTTCATGATGATGGAGCCAGCAGCCAAACACTAGGGAGATAACAGAAATGTGTTATTCTACATAGTCTGCTTTTCAAAGATAATAGCCAAAATCACTCTGACCAGCAATTGTTCTATTATGCTGTCGCCGAGACATGAACTTCTGAAGTGTCAAGATAAGATAGCAGGTACCTCAGCTCCAAACCACAGCTGGCCTTCCAGGTTCTCCTGTTGGATCTCCTCTGGGAACTTGACATAGAAGTCTCGATTGGCTCTCTCGCCTGGGATACACTCATTCATGATCTGGTTGAGGATGCTCAGCACATTGTCCTGTTGTAAATCCCAATAGAGGAATCCCATTGAAGATAGCACATACTATTCTGCAGTTTGTGCATCACTATCATAAAGGTCACTACTGATGCATTTATCATCACAATAAGAGGAAGTGATGATGATTCACTTGGTTGTGTCCCAAATGGCACCCTATTCCCTTAGTAGTGCACTACTTTTGACCAGGGCCTTTAGGGCTCTGGTCAAAAGTAGTGCACCAAATAGGGAATAGGGTGCCATTTGGGACACAATCCTTCTTTACCTGGCAGGAGCGGAACTGGCTGACCAGCAGGGCACAGCGTTGGGGTTCGTTCTTGCCATCCAGGCTGTTGAGCTTGTCAGCCACCTGCCTCAGCTCTTCATCAGCACGGTAGAACTGGGAAAGCAATTGTTGGTCTGATTTCTTGAGACAAAAAAATAGTGTAACATTAAGAAATGAAGGACTGAATAGACTAATCACATCATAGGTTAAATATATTTTGTATTGTTTTGCAGTAAAAGGACTGAGGAGGGAGTGAGTAACAGTACATCTTTTTTTCTGTAAGATTCTACACTTTGGACAAACAAAAGGAGCTGAACAGAGGAGAGAGAACAATGCCCCTGGCCCTTGAAAAGATCCAAGGATACAACTTGTGACTTCAGGGGAAAGCCAAGACGCAGAGCTATTGAACGAGGTGAGAAACTGTGTGTGTCTCTATTACAAAGCCACAGCAGCCACCAACAAAGGAGCCCTTACTGTAATTAGCTGGGCAGCAGCTTACAGTGGCTTGCGAAAGTATTCACCCCCCTTGGCATTTTTCCTATTTTGTTGCCTTACAACCTGGAATTCAAATAGATTTTTGAGGGGGTTTGTATCATTCGATTTACACAACATGTCTACCACTTTGAAGATACAAAATCTTTTTTCTTGTGAAACAAACAAGAAAAAAAACAGAAAACTTGAGCGTGCATAACTATTCACCCCCCCCCCCCCCCCCCCCCCCCCCCCCCTCCCCCTTGTACAGCTATCTTTGTCCTGCTGGAAGGTGAACCTCCGTCCCAGTCTCAAATCTCTGGAAGACTGAAACAGGTTTCCCTCAAGAATTTCCCTGTATTTAGCACCATCCATCATTCCTTAAATTCTGACCAGTTTCCCAGTCCCTGCCGCTGAAAAACATCCCCACAGCATGATGCTGCCACCACCATGCTTCACTGTGGGGATGGTGTTCTCGGGATGATGAGAGGTGTTGGGTTTGCGCCAGACAAATAGGGTTTTCCTTGATGGCCAAAAAACTCCATTTTAGTCTCATCTGACCAGAGTACCTTCTTCCATATGTTTGGGGAGTCTCCCACATGCCTTTTGGCGAACTCCAAACATGTTTGCTTATTATTTTCTTTAAGCAATGGCTTTTTTCTGGCCACTCTTCCGTAAAGCCCAGCTCTGTGGAATGTATTGTTTAAAGTGGTCCTATGGACAGATGCTCCAATCTCCGCTGTGGAGCTTTGCAGCTCATTCAGGGTTATCTTTGGTCTCTTTGTTGCCTCTCTGATTAATGCCCTCCTTGCCTGGTCCGTGGGTTTTGGTGGGCGGCCCTCCCTTAGAAGGTTTGTTGTGGTGCCATATTCTTTCAATTTTTTAATAATGGATTTAATGGTGCTCTGTGGGATGTTCAAAGTTTCTGATATTTTTTTATAACCCAACCCTGTTCTGTACTTCTCCACAACTTTGTCCCTGACCTGTTTGGAGAGCTCCTTGGTCTTCATGGTGCCGCTTGCTTGGTGGTGCCCCTTGCTTAGTGGTGTTGCAGACTCTGGGGCCTTTCAGAACAGGTGTATATATACTGAGATCATGTGACACTTAGATTGCACACAGGTGGACTTTATTTAACTAATTATGTGACTTCTGAAGGTAATTGGTTGCACCAGATCTTATTTAGGGGATTCATAGCAAAGGGGGCGAACACATATGCACACACCACTTTTCCGTTATTTTTTTGTATAATTTTTTCATTTCACTTCACCAATTTGGACTATTTTGTGTATGTCCATTACATGAAATCCAAATAAACATCAATTTAAATTACAGGTTGTAATGCAACAAAATAGGAAAAATGCCAAGGGGGATGAATACTTTTGCAAGGCATTGTATGTTTCCATGTTTACAGAGGAAACGTGGACATCCCACTGGTTTGAAGATTTTAAAATACTGCTAGCATGTCTGCCTCAAATACAGGATATTCTACATGGAATAGTAGTGGTAATGTGTTAAAGATTATTGTTGCTCCATTCATTTAATATAATGGGAAACATGTTTCTCACAAGTTTCTCTGTAAAAAAAAAAAAAAAAAGATACACCAAGAAACTGCTAGGAAATGCAATAATAATATTTTTCTTCTTAAAATACCTCAAATAATAAAGGGTTATGAATTTTTGAATAAATTTGTTCCAAAAAAGCGTATCAGACATTTCATAGGGCCAAAAGACACTTACCTTAGGTTTGTGAAACCACTTTCTTAATCTGTTCATGGTTGAAAAATGTTACCTTGTCTATAGCCTTAGTGCTATAGCCAATCTAATATTCAAATTGACAAGAATCCCAAGATCTCTGTCAAAGCAGTTCCAGATGACTTTAGTGCAGCAGGGCTGGTGGATCCTTCTTCAACCACACGATTGTCAAAGGAGAATCCCCTGTTCTCACCCTTTTTACCTGACCTTACCTGCACTTTAATGGGCGGGGCATAGGCTACCTTGCCATTTGGATTTACAGGAACCTGTAACCATGAATGACCTAAATGAATGTTTGGTTACTGAATGAATCCATTATTGTAAAGGAATCCATTGAGTATAAATGAGTTGTTCTTGAATTGCGGTGGCATTTGGGCATGGCATTTTCGAAAAAATGTACTTCCATTTTCTCATTTTTATTTATTTACATGTATTTGGGTACTTCTTCCCATTCTAAGTCAACTAATATGGCAGCTTAAAGACTTTAAATAGTTGTTACCATTATGATAATATTGTGCCACTAGTCGGAGTAGTAACACCAATGACAGTAACAGCAATGATATATTTTAGGTAAATCTGGATTTTCTGAAATGGAGACCACAGATGCTCAAACCTAAGGTGTTTGGGGAGTTATTTGATTAATCATTTATCTCGCAATGTAATATCCCTTCATTTAAATTGAGCAACACCTTGTGACACTTAGGATTGAGACACACCAAATGATCAATGGAATAATCCTCACATTTATGCCACATTTATAGACCCCTCCCCCAACAATAGTTTGCCACTGAAGGGAATGCTCAAGGTCCTTGTAGAAAACCCTTACAGTCCCTCTCTAACTCTTGAAACAAGTAGCCTACCTGCCCCCAACTCTGCCTTTGTTAGCAGGCTACTCTGTTTGCACCTCTGGAGCTCTCCAGTTACATGCCACACCCAGTGACCTCTGATTGGGACATTTGACCACCGATCACCATTTTTTACCCTGCCCACCTGCATCACCTCAGAGCATCTGTCCAATATGGAGGTGGAACCGGGACACGTATATAACTACAGTCCAGACCACTCCGGGCTCAGTCTTCAGCAAGCAGTGGCAGATTGAGGAGCTTTCTCATAAACCTCTGCCCTGCACAGCAGTCTATCCTCCTTCTTGTTTGCAGTCTGTGTGGTGTGTGGTAATAAACGTGTGTTCTGTACATCTGTCTCCTACTGGTCATTTAAGTCCTCTAACCGGGGCGCTGGGACAGTACATCTGTCTCCTACTGGTCATTTAAGTCCTCTAACTGGGGTGCTGGGACAGTACATCTGTCTCCTACTGGTCATTTAAGTCCTCTAACTGGGGCGCTGGGACAGTACATCTGATTCCTACTGGTCATTTAAGTCTTCTAACTGGGGTGCTGGGACAGTACATCTGTCTCTCCTACTGGTCATTTAAGTCCTCTAACTGGGGCGCTGGGACAGTACATCTGTCTCCTACTGGTCATTTAAGTCTTCTAACTGGGGTGCTGGGACAGTACATCTGATTCCTACTGGTCATTTAAGTTCTCTAACCGGGGTGCTGGGACAGTACATCTGTCTCTCCTACTGGTCATTTAAGTCCTCTAACCGGGGCACTGGGACAGTACATCTGTCTCCTTCTGGTCATTTAAGTCCTCTAACCGGGGTGCTGGGACAGTACATCTGTCTCCTACTGGTCATTTAAGTCCTCTAACCGGGGTGCTGGGACAGTACATCTGTCTCCTACTGGTCATTTAAGTCCTCTAACCGGGATGCTGGGACAGTACATCTGTCTCCTACTGGTCATTTAAGTCCTCTAACCGGGATGCTGGGACAGTACATCTGTCTCCTACTGGTCATTTAAGTCCTCTAACCAGGACGCTGGGACAGTACATCTGTCTCCTACTGGTCATTTAAGTCCTCTAACTGGGGTGCTGGGACAGTACATCTGTCTCCTACTGGTCATTTAAGTCCTCTAACCGGGGCGCTGGGACAGTACATCTGTCTCCTACTGGTCATTTAAGTCCTATAACTGGGGCGCTGGGACAGTACATCTGTCTCCTACTGGTCATTTAAGTCCTCTAACCAGGGGGCTGGGACAGTACATCTGTCTCATTCTGGTCATTTAAGGCCTGTAACCGGGGTGCTGGGACAGTACATCTGTCTCCTACTGGTCATTTAAGTCCTCTAACCGGGGCGCTGGGACAGTACATCTGTCTCCTTCTGGTCATTTAAGTCCTCTAACCGGGGTGCTGGGACAGTACATCTGTCTCCTACTGGTCATTTAAGTCCTCTAACTGGGGTGCTGGGACAGTACATCTGTCTCCTACTGGTCATTTAAGTCCTCTAACTGGGGTGCTGGGACAGTACATCTGTCTCCTACTGGTCATTTAAGTCCTCTAACCGGGGCGCTGGGACAGTACATCTGTCTCCTACTGGTCATTTAAGTCCTCTAACTGGGGTGCTGGGACAGTACATCTGTCTCCTACTGGTCATTTAAGTCCTCTAACCGGGGCGCTGGGACAGTACATCTGTCTCCTACTGGTCATTTAAGTCCTCTAACTGAGGCGCTGGGACAGTACATCTGTCTCCTACTGGTCATTTAAGTCCTCTAACTGGGGTGCTGGGACAGTACATCTGTCACTTACTGGTCATTTAAGTCCTCTAACTGGGGCGCTGGGACAGTACATCTGTCTCCTACTGGTCATTTAAGTCCTGTAACCGTAGTGCTGGGACAGTACATCTGTCTCCTTCTGGTCATTTAAGTCCTCTAACCGGGATGTTGGGACAGTACATCTGTCTCCTACTGGTCATTTAAGTCCTCTAACCGGGGTGCTGGGACAGTACATCTGTCTCCTACTGGTCATTTAAGTCCTCTAACCGGGGCGCTGGGACAGTACATTTGTCTCCTACTGGTCATTTAGTCCAGTAAACAAATCAAAATCTATTTTAGATTCTTCAAAGTAGCCACCCTTTGCCTTGATGACCGCTTTGCACACTCTTGGCATTCTCTCAACCAGCTTCATGAGGTAGTCACCTGGAATGCTTGAAGGAGTTCCGACATATCCTGAGCACTTGTTGGCTGCTTTTCCTTCACTCTGCGGTCCAACTCATCCCAAACCATCTAAATTGGGTTGAGGTCGGGTGATTGTGGAAGCCAGGTCATCTAATGCAGCACTCCATCACTCTCCTTCTTGGACAAATAGCCCTTACACAGCCTGGAGGTGTGTTTTGGGTCATTGTCCTGTTGAAAAACAAATGATAGTCCCACTTAGAGCAAACCAGATGGGATGGCGTATCACTGCAGGATGCTGTCGTAGCCATGTTGGTTAAGTGTGTCTTGAATTCTAAATAAAAACACAGACAGTGTCACCAGCAAAGCATCCCCACACCATCACACCTCCTCCTCCATGCTTCATGGTGTGAACCACACATGCAGAGATCATCCATTCACCTACTCTGCGTCTCACAAAGACACAGTGGTTGGAACCAAAAATCTCAAATTTGGACTCATCAGACCTACGGACAGATTTCCACCGGTCTAATGTCCATTGCTCGTGTTTCTTGGCCCAAGCAAGTCTCTTCTTATTATTGGTGTCCTTTAGTAGTGGTTTCTTTGCAGCAATTCGACCATGAAGGCCTGATTCACGCAGTCTCCTCTGAACAGTTGATGTTGAGATGTGTCTGTTACTTGAACTCTGTGAAGCATTTATTTGGGCCGCAATCTGAGGTGCAGTTAATTGCCGATTTCTGAGGCTGGTAACTCTAATGAACTTATCCTCTGCAGCAGAGGTAACTCTGGGTCTTCATTTCCTGTGGCGGTCCTCATGAGAGCTAGTTTCATCATAGCGCTTGATGGTTTTTGTGACTGCACTTGAAGAAACGTTCAAAGTTCTTGACATTTTCCGGATTGACTGACCTTAAAGTAATGATGGACTGTCGTTTCTCTTTGCTTATTTGAGCTGTTCTTGCCATAATATGGACTTGGTCTTTTACCAAATAGGTCTATCTTCTGTATACTACCCCTACCTTGTCACAACACAACTAATTGGCTACTGTAGATGTTTTGCCGGACATGGTGTGCATACAAGAAACATGGTTTAAACCTCAGTTGGCTTATATTATACCTGGGTGTATCTCTGTGAGAAGTGATAGAATAGAGGGTTCGGGTAGTGGGTGTGCTACATTTATCAAATAAGGTGTAGCACATAGAGTGATTCATGGTTTCAAAGAACATGAATGTGTGGTGGTGGAGATGTGTAGAGAAGGGGGTAATATCACATTGTTCAATTACTGTAATCCTTGTAAACCCATCTCTGTATCTGAATTAGACATAGTTGCGAAATCCAGTTCAAGTGATAAGGAGTTATGGTGTCGAAATTTCAATGCGCATAACAGCTTGTGGGGCAGCAATACCACAAATGCCAATGGTTTAGTTGTTGAAGATTTTATGGAGCGGAGGGGACTAGTTTGTATAAAAGATGGTCGCGGGACATGGGTAAATGTGACTAGCGGTACATCGCAGTGGACTGAAGCATGTAATAAGGCCATCAATGATCGTGATAAGGCTTTTAAAATTTTGAAGAATAATTTGACATTTGATAGCATGATAGACTTTCAGAGAAAGAGAGCGTTGGCTAGGAAAGTCATTAAGAATGCAAAGAAAGGCAGGAATTCTGTTCTTCTAGGAAGGGAAACAACTGGGGGATGTGTGGAAAATGTTACCTGTGTTAGCTGAGGAAGATGTTATGGCTGTTTCAAACAAAGAAAAAAAAAGCAGACGCTCTAGGAAGAGCTTTTGCAGCAGTGCATAAAGTTGACAATCT